CATACTCCCCCCCCCCCCCCCTCAAGTCCCTTCTCAATGCGCCATTTCCAACCGTGTAAGAATGAGAGCAAACGAGCACAAGCTAATACTGCCCACTGCTTTTACTCCCGCTGCTGGTTCAGTGTAAATGTGCAGAGCGTGATTGTCCAGGTCTGCACGACTGAGGTGACCCCTAATTCGCAGCTGCATTCTCCTGGCGTTAAATTTGCACCCGTGTAATCATAGTGGATAAAGCCCAACGGATGAGTTGCATGTGACTACCTTGAAGAAGTTGCCAGAACATTGCATGACGGCGTCATAGAAGGAGCTGGTGTCTTCCTCTTGATCATCGTCACTTAGATCCTGAAAAGGGCGACAGTCCGTGCTACATGGAGCGGAGTCTTTCGAGTTTGGTTTGCTATCATTGCATGCTGAATGGGTGGAGAAGTCCAAAATGCTTACTTCCCATTCATCGTCTTGCTGCTCCTTCGTAGCTAGACGCTCGAACTCGCGAGTCAACACCCTGCAACCCCCAACGCCATCACCACAGCCACTGCGCGCCCTTTTGCGCGTCTATCCCTTTAGATGCTACCCCCCTGACAGCCCACTCAAGGCGCTATAGCAGCCTAACTAGCAGTTGGATGCACTTATCTGAAAACCCCCAGCAGTCACTGCTTGCAAAGGAGGGCACTGCAGGCTGCAGAACTTACGGAAGGATGAGCTTCCCCATGCCGACGAAGAGCTTCTCAAGCAGAGCCGCCCTCTGTGCCGAAGGCACCTTACATTCCTCTGGAAGCACACCTTCCCTTTGTCGTTTCGCCTGGTCGGCTACGATCTGGGCAACAGCGGGCAGCATGTGTTCTGCTGCAGCAGATGCCGTCGAAGGAGGAAGTTGGCCCTCGCTGCTCGACAAGAAGGAAGCAACGAGCTCCAAGGCGGCTGTCGTCGCTTTCCCTTGCTGCTCTGGAGCGGACGCAAGAGCCGTTAGGCAACCCGGAAGCGCCTGCGCCAGCGCCCCCCTTCACAAATCTGAAGCTTATGATCCTGCTGCCGCACAGTCGACTTCGCTGACCCAGACAGGAAGGTCTGGGTTTAGGCACCCAAACCAGGGGCACCCTCACCTCATATGCTGCAGTGCGGACGATCGAAAACTCAGAGGAGCAACTTTCAAGCGCAGCAGAAGTCCATTCTTTCCCCCATGCAATCGGCGCCGCCGGCCCTACAGCTGATGCAAGTGCCCCAAGCAAGTTCAGCGCAGCTAGCCGTTCTTCCACGGCGGCCTACGCGCAGCATGAGCCAGAACATATCTCGTTAACATTGGAGAAGACAGCACCTTCTGATATCCCTAGGATTCAGCAAGCCTGCTAAAACAAGGAGGGCTGCAGCTGAGGGCAAAAGGCACAGAGGCCCAATGGCGCCTATTACCTCCAGTCTTCCCTACAAGCAAACAAGCCAGTGATGGGATGCCAAAAGCCCCTCGTTAAAGAAGGCATGAGGCAAATGCTCAGTGTAGGAACGGCCGGGTCTTACTGTATTGATTGAGATGATGGTCTGTTTTCCTGATTTGTCTTGAACGCGGAACTGCGACACACCTCCCTCCTGGGACAGCTCCGCGCCCGCATTCAACGACCCTGCAGCCGCCGTAACTTCATGGGCAACTCCCATCTGCATGCAAGGAACACGCTCTGGAGATGATCAGTCCTACTGACTCCACGAAGTATCATTGTCCTCTCCTTGCCATACCAGTCCCACCAGCTCCCCGCCCCGGAGGAGCATCCGGAGCGCACCCGTGGGAGATGAGCGAAAGCAGGAAGATGCAGTTAAGAACTGCCCAACGCTTTTCCCGCACGAAGCCCGAAAAATGTTATCCGTCTGCTGAAACTGTCTAATGAGGAATACCGCAGTGTTGAAGGCATAGTTTCCCTTGGCCGCACCTGGATGCCCAATTGAGCCTTCCGGAGGACAATATCCATCACAGGCTGCATCTGCTGCAGCAGCTCTGGGCCGCATGCCGGTGCAGCCACAGCTAGGCATATCATAATAGAGCTGAAGACTGCTGAGGCAGCGGGGACGGATTCGCAGGCCAGGAGGAGGCTGTGGAGGCGGTCCACTAGCCACGGGGCATCCTGCAACAGCCAGCAGACCTCGGTCCCTAAACACAGGTTCACCTTTTCCACGTACGGTCTGCCACAAAAAACCATGCATGCGGCAGAAAGCGCAACAATCCAGCAGGGAATGATGAGCAAGTTGGATGTCTCCATTCTGGACCCATACACAGACGTACCGGCTTTAAGACATCCTTGCCCACCGCTGTTCCAAGGTCAGCAGCAAACTCGACTGCCGCCTGCAGCAGACATCGCCCGGAATGATCTTCCAGCAGCTGCTGCACCTTTTGCTTCCCTGCAGGATCATCTCCTCCCAGAAGGTTCCGCAGCGCCACGACGAACGGCGCATAGTGCGGGATGAAAGCAGAGCCGCAGGCCTATGACAACGCATATAACATGCAGGTGCCTTTGTATCTTGCAACCTTCAGGCCCCAACATATTGAATACAAAAGCAAGCTTAATGTCATATCTCCAAACTCTCTATAGCCCAATCCCACAGAATGTCAACTGGGACGCTCATCCTCAACCCTGAGAAGTGGTCTCAATACGGATGGTTACTGTCCTCGTTGGCTAAGGACTGAGAAAGAATAGCACCTTTGCCAATGCAGAAGCGAGAGCGAGTGCGAATTCTTGAGTCTGCATGTCATTGCTGGAACAGCCGGAGATGACGGCTGCAGCCCGCGAGACGCGGCAATGCGAAACAGCAGCAGCGGGAGCAGCATACCATAAAGCCACAACAGCAGCAGCACAACCACACAATCGATGCATTACTTCTTGCCCCTGAAATATACAGACTGCCATGGCCTGCAGTCTGTAACCCTCTACCTGCACAATGTGCATGCAACGGAGACGGCGCACCCTGGGACAAGACCCCGTTCAAGTGAGGGACGACCTGCAGAAACCCCACAGTTTCAGTCAGCCCGCAAGGACTGGTTCTAGAGCTTTAACAGGCACCTAAAATTAGGTGCAACCTAACTTAATTCCATAGAGGGAGTTGTACAGGCAACAGAACAGGTCCAGTCCCTTCCACATCGTCCCTATCTACGCTGGGGAAAAACAGCAGCCGATGCCAGCATAGCTGCAGCAGCCAGGCACGAAGCACACAGCACAGCCTGTGCTGACGTACGAAAGCGAGGGTCTCTGGAGAAGGCTCCTCCCCATCTTCGGGTGCTAGCCCCGATAAGAAGGAGGCGAGAGCCAAAAGCGCCTGTCTCCGGCAGCGTACAGCAGGATCCTCTGCGCTCTTTTCAGAGAGAAGGGACAGCAGCTGGTCGCCGTGCTGCTGCTGCACCTGCCGAGTCCACTTTTCTTCGTTCCCCACCATCGAACCCAAGCACCGTAAGCCTTGCCAACGCAAACGGGCGTCTGCGGCTTTCACTGCCGCTATGCAGGTCATAGTCAGCTAAAGACAAACATACCAGTTAAAAAAATAATGTGCAGATACAATCCTTACATTTGCAAAGAAGCCTACACGCAAAAGGAGCCGTCCACTCCGTCTCCACCAAGAGAGCAGAAGGCGCGGCAGCAACACTGGAAGCAGCAACGGCAGACGTCGCAGCAGCTGCCAGCGATGAGGCATGTGCTATCCAGCTCCTGTACGTGCATGTGCATACTTTTTCTACGTAGGGTCCTAAGAGAGGTCTGCAGGTTCCATCGTCCAGCAAAAGGGCAAGCAACTCGAGAGCGGTGTAGGAGTAGCGGGGATCCTCTTGTTCAACTAACAGCGAAAAAATGTTCATGAGTTTCCCCAGGACGTGCAGGCCTGCGACTCAGTCATCCACGATAGGACGAGTGGCACAAAGCACATAATACGTTTGCAGGTTTACGCAAGGTGACGACTGTACATCATAATGGAGACGGCTGAAGCGATACGCACTCTGGCGCCAGCGGCGAAAGCAAAAGGACAGCAGTGCCCACCTGTCGAAGAAGCTCCCGCTTCCGCAGAGCCCCCTTCGGCGCCTGGATCCTGCAACGAGCAACTGCTACAAACCATGGAAGCGATGTCTGCCATCAGCTGCAGCGCCACACTGTGCAGCGTGTCTTCCCCTGTCTCCTCCTCTCGCGCCTGCGCTTCCCAGGTGGTCAAGTCCTCCCAGTCACTGGGGGAGGCTGCAGCTGCGTCTGCTAACAGCATCAACAGGTCGTCTACGAGCGGCATGTGCTGCAGCAATACACAACAAATTCGAGAAACGCTCAGTCCCAACGCCTCATGTGGTCATATGGCCCTGATCCCCAAACTCTTCTTCACACCAAGACACGCTCCTGTGAGAGGCAAGAAAACGGCACCCAACAAAAGCTCCTTTGCAACAAACACGCAAGCCAACGAAATCCTATTGAACCATATTGTCTCTCGCGCATGAATATGCACGGTCCAGGAAGAAGCACGGACCTTTTTTGAGAACTTCGGTGCTCCAAGGAAGGCAGCGGCGGCTAACTGCAGAGCCATCCGGCGCGTTTCCTCTGTCTGTACACTGGAAGAGTTGGCAAGAATAGTCCTAATGGCGCCTAAGAGCGCTCCGTGCTGGTTGCGGAAGAACTGCGGACCTCTCTCGGCTAGAGAGACGAGCGGAGCCAGCAGCTCCGGACAGGGCTGTCGGGCGATCATCTGCAGGACTACTGGGCACAACGAACAGTAGGCCGCTGTCGCCATCTTCTTTGCCTCCTCAGCTTCTGCCCCTTCCGCCTTCCAGCGGGCCGTACTGCAAAGAAATGCGCCTCCAGCAGCATACTGAGACATGGGGATGCCTCGGTTAATATACAGGCACAGGACGTCCTACATGTTACAGACGGATTACAGTCACAACGCCCAGAACACACACAATGCGAAGCCTGGCAGACAGATAACCCAAAAGGCAAACACCTACCGAACAAACAAAGACTCCAGGGCCTCCTCAGCAGCTGCCGATTTCTAAAGAATTGCAATTCACACAAACAGGCGCACCCAGGCTAGGGGATACAGCTGGCCCCAACACTAGCTGCTGGGACAACAACAAAGTCCCATATAGCGCTAGGTCTGTGCGTGTCAGCATGCATCTGCATATGTGCGTCAGCCAAGGCCATGCCCTTCAAAAGAGAACGAGCCCACCCACCTGCACATCTAGCTGCTGAAATGTGAGGTTCAACTTTTGGACGAGTTGGGGAGTGCGCTGCACATACACCTCAGGCTCCGCCACGTCTGACAGTCTGTCGACCAGTAGCCACAAAAGGCACTCTTCTTCTGCTGAAGGCCCCTGTGCCTGCTGGCCGTCAAGCCAGTTCACGATGAACCCAAAAGGGGCTGTCTGGCTGATGGTTGCTGCGCAGCAGATGACGCAACGAACTTCTGCTCTAAAATGACTAAGACCTCCCTCAGGCAGGTATACAACCCTTTTACTCTTTTTAAATTGTAAACATACGATAACACGCAAGAAGCACCTGTAGACGGTAAATGCTCCCACAGCTCTCCGACTGCCTCAGCTGCTGCTTTCCGCACGGCGAAGGGACCCCCCGATGAGAACGCGGCTACGAGGTCCCGCATGACAAGTTCTATGAGCTTCTGTTTCTGCTCCGGATCATCCTTCATGTCTTTCAATTTGCTGTGTGCATACCGCCGGACTAAGACGGCCGCAAGCTGTCTGCTCGACGTCTCCTCCTCTGACGCAGAAGCAGCAGCAGCAAGCGCCGGCAACAACTGCTGCAGTGGAGATTTGTTCAGTAACTCCTCCCCAGCGCGGCGGACAGCAGTGTCCGACGATTGCAGTTGGGCCAGGACCTGCAGGTGCAGCCAACAAGCGACAAAAGCCACAGTCCCACTCTGCTGTACAGCCAGCGCAAATATACATGGGGGCGAGTCAGCGAGCGTACAGTGGCAAATGCACGTTGAAGACATTCGGGCAAATGCACGTTGACGTAACCACAGCTATACAATCAGGTACGTGGATAGGTGTTAAGACAAGTGCGCTGCACGCGTTTGCACATAGACGAAGATAACCAAACAACACGTGTGAAGGAGTAAATGCCGCCGATGCCTGCGAGAGAGGAAAACAATGGCTTGCCTCCTTCATGGCGGTGTTGTTCTGACTGGCAGGAAAAGACATTTGCGGCATCGTGCTGATTAGTTCTCGACAGATGGTGGAGAGAAGCAGCCGACGGCAACCAGCGCGGCCCCTAGGTGAGATAAGGCCTGTTTTCGGATTATCTTCAAAATGGAATGTACACTTTTAAACTTTTCAGTGAGAAACGCAGAAGCAGACAATCGGGGGAAATACCGCTGAAACGCTGTACGTCCTTCTGGAGCAGAATAACCTCAGCACAACACAGTGGCCCCTGAACCCTTCTAAAGGCCTCTGAGGAGCTCCGGCTTTCCCCTCTTATTTCTATTGGCAACGATTAAGATGAAGGATATCAAGCATGCAACAAGACGTAGCAGGGTACTCATTCAGTTAGCGTGGACCCAAACAGTGGGGTGGGGCCCCTCGCAACACACCGCCGATTATGAAATAAGCTATGTCACTTTCAAGGCACTCTGCTCTGTATTCCTTGTTTCTTTTAATATAATAAGCTATAAGGCCTTACCATTGTATGAGTACCAAAGGCAGTACCAGGAGTTAATCGCAGAGACCTGAAAAGCACGCGATGTGCTGAGCTAGCCCAGCAGTCTGTGTTGTGCGCGCCCTCCTGTGCGGAGTTAGAGATGTTCAATACATAGGGTCCCAATAAAGGGAATTTTGCCAGTAGGCTGCCAGCGTCAAGATGGGGAAGTACTGAGGACCTCTCCTTTTTGGGGGTCGCCCACAACAACTCGACATTTAGCACTACGTATTTCATGAAACTTGAGAACACGTTAATTTTATGAATATATATAAGAATTCATAAAACCTGTGAGCATTTCACAGGTTGTTTGATGGCAAAGGTCCTTGAGTTATTGCAGGAATGAAGGCGCATTTCGACTGTTCATCTCTATGAATACGCGTCAGGCTGGTGTACGTTGAACCTGTCGGTGGCTCAGGGGTGGACAGGAAAAGCCAGCGAATGGTGGCCATTTCTATTTTTCAGCAGCCTCATTGTAGGTAGCGGCAGCTCCTCCTCGCCGCTTCACCAAGTGCTCCCTAAGCTGTACCTCTAGAGCAATCGCTTTGTGTCTTCATGTGGTGTACAGCCCCATAGCAGCCAGCGAAAGTCTTCGACCATAGCGGAGGGACGTCGTGCGCTGCAATAGAGTCAGAGTACATAGAGAGAGTTGCTCGAGGGCAACTGACCTCCTCTACAGTCTCCAGGCGTCGTGGGCAACAGCGCAACAAGGGTCAAGGGTTTCCCTGCAGAGGAGACCACCTGTCGTAAGCTGCAGCACTCCTTGCTGCAACTCGTGATGCAAGGCTAGCATGCACATGGAGTGCTATGCACAGGCGTATACAAGCCCCTGTTTGATGCATGAGCTAGCACCGTAGGCGCTTGTTTAGAACATTTTTGTAGTAGCACCTCAGAAGCCACACTGCATGCAAATAGGACTGCGCACAATACTCACTGCAGGCAGATGATGATTGCAGCATCATCATCATCTTAAGTTGTGCACAAAGACGTGGGCGGTATTTGCTTCAGTACCCCTTGCATTGTTACGGGGTGGTTGATGGAACCTAGCACGCAGAGCGACTCATCTAGCAGGCTGGCAACGGCAAACGCATATATGGCTAAAAACTTGAATAGCGTATCTATGCGCGAATAAATAAATAAATGTATATAAATATTAATTTGTATGCCTGTTACCCAGCTAGCTGGCTCTGTTGATGCCTGCTGGTCGGATTTGTATGGTGTGCGTGGGCTCCGGCGTGTGCTGGGCATTGCTTGTTGTCAAATAGTAAAATACAATATCTAAGCAATAAAGTAGCACTTTAAATGGTAAATTCAAAACGATTTCAAGTTGGAGGTGAAAGGCAACGCCGCATTTATCCATTTTAGCAGCATACCCACAGCAACCAAGAGTTTTTGATTCATATAATCCATCAGTAGCATTTGGGGGACCAAATTTAGGAACTGTTCACCTCCAAACAACACGAAATTTAACGTGGACTCATTTTTCACCTGCATTTATAGATTCCCACGCGGGGGAGGTGTCCGCTCTGTCGGTTTTCTTGCCGTGCAGCGACTACAATGTGCACTGGCTTGCATCCAAAGCCGCGCTGGCATTTCGGCAGCAATTCAAGGGCGTTTAAAGTCGAACAACCTGTGGAATGCTTACAAGTAAAATGAGGAGCGCAGTGCTAATGTTGGGCTATTGGCGGCGATCCCTGAAAAGGGGAGGCCTTAAACACTTTCCCGTTTTGTCTCCAGAACAAGTCGGGCCGCTGCTCTGGTAAATCTTGCACGTACTGTTCAAGAAACACATTGGCATGCTCCTTAGCCTTGTCTTGAAGTGTCCCCGATTTAACACGCTTAACCAAGTTGCTAATAGACCGTCTAGCCCAATTTTGCAGCCCTGGTTGCTTCTTTGATGTCGCAGCCGCATCCTTAATGAACTGAAAAAAACAAGAAAAGGCGTCACCTGGCACCCCTGTCGCACAACTATTGGTAGAAGCAGATATTGCAAGCCATTGGCAGCTCTCCTAAATAGTCATTCCGCAACTCTATTTCTCCATCCGTACGGACGCCCATCCCCGCTGAAGTGGATTTTTTTTTCGGGACACCTTACAAAATTCAGCAAGTGGAAGGGACACAGCCCGTAGCCTAATTCGAAAGCTTCGTGCTTCTCAGCCGGCCCGCAGTGCCGTCCAAATACAAACAGCCAAAAAGGAACAACCATAAGGGTGCGGACAAGCCCCCACTGAACTTCGGGGTCCATTGCAATGTCCAAAATACGATCCGCCGCCTGTGCAACTTTTCCCACATATTTTCTTAATTGGCTCTGCAAGCACAAAATGAACCATGCGCAGCAGCTCTTTGTAGTTTCTAGTTCAGTCCACCCAGAAAATAGCACATTGTTCCAGGCTCGGGGAGGGATAGTTATCTCCAAAGACAGCTTGAGCTCCTCAGCAAATAATTCCAGAACAAACCCGACGGTGAAACCACAAAGTGAGACTGGATTCAGCCTACTCAACGTGTGTGTTGCAAAATAAATGCAACCTGGAAGAAACTTGCCTGGACTGTTGGTTGAAGGTGCTTAGATGCGAATGTGGTTAGCAGGCTGCTTGTCGTCATTACCAAGTCAGATATTTCCTGTCTACCGATCCCCTCAACGAGACCGCGATTATTCAAAGTAAGTGACAGCAGGTATGCACCTCCAATCAACAGCCTGAACGATGCACGTAAAAACAACAAGGACTACCTCGAAAGCCCAATTACGGATGGTTTCGGGCTGTGATGCCCATCTGAGAGTATCACAAACGTTCAACGAATGCAATATATATATATATATATATATGATACGTGTGGCGGCTTGCCTACTCAAATGCAGTTCCTTACGCTTCGCTCATGACGAACCTATGAATAGGAGGAGCACTAATGCTCAGAATCCTGGACAGTTGAAACGGAAGGTCTATTAGCGACTCGTCAGGAAAGACAAGCATTTTGCTTTCATACTGTGGCAAATATATAGGCCGGACTGTTGGGCTGGGACAGGAGGCGACGGCCTCATTGAACTTGCGCACAAGTTCCGTTGTCCTAGTCCACTTGTTTGATAGCTTCAGTAACGAAAGCCGATATTCGGGAGAGGTCTCCGGTGCGATTTCCCTAACCGTAAAGTGTGCGAACTTAACCATCGACCTCAGGACCATCTCCGAAGTGATCGCCTTGTCCATTTCAGCTCTCCGCCACAGGTCCAAAGCATGCAGATCCTCTATCGCCTGGAGCTCTCGGGAGATGTGGGCAACACAGGCATCGGCAGCGGCCTGCAGAAGAATTCGAAATTGACATTGAAAACCTCAACACAACAGCAGTGAAAGCGTCCCACCGTGAGTCGGTTCGAAGGAAAGCTATCGCCCTGCTGGGCGTCCATTGCCCGGCATGCCTTTTAATCTATAGCGAGCCCAAAGTTCATACCTCTTCGAGGGTGATAGGAGGCACAGTTCGGTCCAGATCCCTCTGCACAGCAGAAAGAGTCTGCACGGAATCACAACAGCAAGCGAATAACCATTGAAGATAAACAATATTTATAGACAAAGGTTCCTTTCAACGCGCTCAAGAGCTAAAGATGCTGGTCCTGCAACTGGAGTCAAAAGAATAAACACGCAACAAAAAGAAAGAGCTGTCGGCTTTGGCGGAGGAGACAGGTATTCTTTAAAAATGGACTATCCCGCCTCCTTCTCGTCTGCGGCCTTGTCAATAGAAATCTCGGGAAATTGCCAAAAGCACGAAGCCGGACAGGCAACAGGGAGCCTGTGAAGAGTCTCAAGTGTGGGCTTGCTTAGAAGTTGAGCAAGCTGCTTCAGGCTATCTGTCATACCTCATCGCTCTCCAGAGGAAGGCTCATTGGTACATAACCAAGCATCTGCGGAGCAGAGTAGAGACACAGCTACTACCTTCAACTTTTTCGGATCATTACGAACTAGTATGGTGAGTAAAGGCGGGCTTCTGCAGACTATCGGTACTGCCTAGGGCTGATTTGAACGCACGGGCAAAGTAGGATCGTTCAGACGTCTATGGATTTTCTCCACTGCCTGCATGGTGTGGATGTCATTAACGGGAAGATCCTGGACAACCAGATAAACAATGCACTCGCCGCCGAGAGGAAATGAAATAACAGTTTTTATTATAAATTTTACCTCTTGATTTGCGTGCAGTAGCCACAAGCGGTCAGTGCACACGCGATCAGTACATCCGAGAAGTCTCACGAATGCACTGAGTACTTGTGCCGACTGAACGCAAATCAGTAGTGATTGCAGGGATACGAAACTTCTGCAGGGATACTGAATATAGCGTGAAAAATGTTTTTGTTTGGTTCACCCTGCATCGATCAACGAAGTGTTGGTCCTTTCTCAGTACAACAGTGCACAGCACGAACCCCTTGTCGGCCAGGGTCCGCAACATGTTACTGCGCTGCGCATTACAGCAGACACACTCGCAAAGAGGTGCACCCCATCTATTACACATGAAGGGAAACAAGTTGCTGCCAGGCGCACGACGGAATAACCACCATCTAGAGTGCTTAGGCGGCAACGTCCAATGCTCACCGGTCTTCTGCAAAGGCCGAATACATTTTGAGGCGCTTGTTCCAATGCCCTTCGGTATTCCTCCCCGTGAACCCCTGCTTGTCTAAGGTCAATGGTTTGTGCGTCCAGCGGAAGGCTGTCGCTAAAGGAAACAAAAACTTGGTCCTTTTGGCTGCTCTCAAACAAGCTGGTTAGCTTAGCTTGTTTGTGCGACCTCAACAGTCGCACGGGCTCTGTTCCACGATGCTGTTGAATTGCTGCTGGTTGCATGAAACAAACGGCACCCAGTTCCGCAGCGAGCCGTGCCTTCATGCGGGACAGCCATGATGCAGGCTTGCGAACAAGAAAATTTCGATGCAGCCTTGCTGCTGTCTCCCTCACATTCAGTAAATGCAATGCATGCTTCTTCAGCGCTGTCGTCAAAGACAGCAGGGACGCCTTGTCAGGGTCTACAAACCAGTTGGTCGGCTGAATGTACACGTTTACCGGCCGAAAATAACAGCGGCCCACGACGCAGTCCGAAACAACATGCACTTTGTAGACGTGCGATAACTGCGTCCGCACAAAGAACACTCTAGAACGCAAAACATAGTACTCACCTTCTGAGTGAAGCTTCAACAACTCCGTCTTCTAGAGCGTGCCGAGAAGTTGGATACAGCAAATTCAGCCTGCTTCAGTCTGCTTACCGTAACACGTGGGGGCAGCCTCAAAACGGTGCTCTGCAGGCATCGGCAGACTGAATGGCAAAGGCATATCTAGTGACCTGCAGCCAGCGTCTAGTGCATTGGAGCAACGAAAGGCACGCCAGCGTTCGCGTCTCTTATAGATAGCGCTACAGCAGACTACTATGCCGCGAAACTACTGGCCCAGTGGCAAGACGCGGTTTAAGAAAGGCGCTAATAAACCGTCGTAGCCACAGAAAATAAGGAGAATGCAGATGTAGCAAACTGACCTGAGGGCTATCTTTCGACTGCAGCAGACACTCACGCACCAGGAGACACAGAAGCGGAAGCGGTTGAAACGTTCGTATCGAGGCAAAATAGGGGCAGCCACGCCGTCTAGCACAAGTGCATGAACCCAGCTACGGTTAGGTGCTTTGCGAGGATAAGAGAGCCACGGCTAGAGAGGGACCCTCACCGGCTCTTTGGCCTCATCTTGAGCAGCACGATCTTCGGGGAGCTAAAATACAACAAAAACAGAGAACGCGATGGGCAGAGAGTTCAAAAAGCTTGCTTACAGTTTCCGTAGAGGCATTTCGCATCTCTCATGAACACAACAGGACACAGTAGCCCCTCGGTTTGCAGCCAAAGCAAAAACATATGATAAACTCACCACAATGGCCTCCTTGGAGGACAGTGTCGGGTACTGCGGAAACACAGGAGCCGCAGCCACAGGTGGTACTTAGTGCCAAATGCCGTTTTAGAACATGGACTCCCTACATGATGGAAAAGCCACCAAACAGCTCACGCAGCTCAAAAGCTCACCGAAAGACTGAATTCAACCTGCGACAAGTCAACAGCAGAAGAGACATAAAAGCACGCAATATGCGTAATTCTTTTCGTCCTTAGTGCGGAATTGCTAAATCTACTTTTCAACTCGTGAGAAATCCGTGGAATCAAACAAAAGCTTACTTTGGAGACTAAAGAAGTAAGCGCGTCCACTTGTGATGCCGGGGGCTCCTGATAGCAGAGCGTAGTTTGCATGGTTTAGCGATGCATGCAGGCCAGTTAATTCGTGCAATGTGGACGTTGTTTTATGCTGTGCAACTATCTGTTTTGGCACTACAAATGAGTGTGAAGCTGCTCGGGTTTTCGCGCACTTGTGGGTCACTGGGGACACTGGACGCATCTGAGGCACAAAAAACAACAACGCCCAGAGGTAAGCATGATGACATGACTTATGCTCTCTCAAAAGTCGGTTTTCAACTTCGATGAATCAAAACGGCCCCTAATCACCCGGAAAGGCGGACGCGGTAGTAGGCACGGAACTTGTTCGGTATCCTACACCTGATAGGGCTGCCTTCTTGTCTGCGTGCCTGTACACAGTGTGCGATGAAATCTGTAGATTGACCCACCGCTGGTGTCGGAAACTTCAGGGGTTTGGGGGTAGGGGGCCTCGGGTTCTGCGCGAGACCGCAGGAGCCCAAACCCAAGTAGTGCCGCCACGACTCCTCGAAGAAGTCTTGACATCCTAAATGCTGCAGCAAGTTATACCTCCTGAATCCACACACATGGCGGTGCTCCGGAGCAGAAGAGGCAATACGGCAGACAAGGCCTTCTACGGCACGGAGGCTCGGCCGACGAGACTCGGCACTGCGATGCGCGCATGGATCTCTCTAAGTCCGTTCCTCAGAGTCTTCCTTGAATAATCCGGTCCAAGAAATGCTTCTAATTTTAAAAATTATATTTCGAGTTCACACACAAGTCGTTTTGCAGGTGCTGCACATCCTGGACCGGGGGCCCCTCGCAGCGACACTATAGCGGACTAACACAGCCGGGCACTCCGATGGCGCCGTGAACCGCCACCGGCAGCAGAACGAAAGGAATAGAACTATTCTAAATAATAAATTAAATAATAATAAGTAATTAGGGTGAATTGGTGGGCAAAAATGTGTTTTTCTAATGATGTCTACTTCTTCTAGGCTCAGTGTGGAAGAAACAATGCCTGTAGCTAGCAGCGCTTCTCGCCGCGTCTGCTCAGACAGCGCAGCAGAGAGGTTTGCAGCTCTTCTCTCTGTCCAGATGAAATATCCCGGGTAATTGTGAATTTGGTTTGATCTATATTTAGAGACACTAGGCTGGTTAGTAGAGGATACTCTTTAAAAGCCGGCCTGTGTGTCTAACCGCCATGTCTTACTGAGCTAGACTCCTTACATCTGGGAAGTATTCAGCCATTGCAATCTGTATACAAATATCAAAGCCGCTCCAACAAACAGCACGGAAAAAAATTCTCGCCAGAAATGGTTTGCTTGAGTCCGATTCCCACAGGATTCCCGAACGAAGAATATATTTGTTATGCGAACGAGAGTCCTCCACGTCAACGTTCGATCCGTCGTGGGCTGCAAGGGAGTCAAAAGGCATAATATTAGAGTTCCTTCAAAGCGGTTTTAACCTCCCCTTCAGTCTAAAGGCATCCTGGGCACAGCGGCAGGAAGGCCTAAGGTGATGTAGAAGGGAGGCAGCTTGCCAAGGGTTGCAGCGCACCTTGCTCCGACTCCTGCTCCACAGCAACCCCAAAATCAGAAAGTAGACAAGTCCCTTTTCTGATGAATGCATTCGCACTGCAGACAATCGTTAAACGCTCTCTTGGTTTTCATTGGCCAACCTGAATGCACGAAGAAATTCGTACCAACTTTTCAGACAGAAACACCAGCGCCTACTTCACCCCTTAGCAATAAACGCTCTTGTATGGCTTATTGCCTAGCCAGGTATGGGTAGAGCGGCGGGAGGAGATCGGGGTGCAAAAGCGGCCAGTGCTTCTAACAAGAAAAAGAGAAGGAAAACCAGCGAAGGACGGTTAGACGTGTCTGCCGCTGGTGCTTCTTGTTGCTGCTTCTAGTCGTCCTGAAGATCTTTGAGGTACTTTTTAATCGGAGGTAAATCAGCAATTCTGTTTGTATTCACGACAAACAGTTGAAGCAGCTGTTGCCGAAATGCGAACGTCCACCGTTGCTATAATGGCACTATCTCCTGCTGCTGCACCCCTCGTTGATCCTGCTGGACTAGCTGCTGCTGCATTTGTTGCTGGTGAGGCGCGCGCTGATTCTACAACTCCGTCTGCTTCTCCTGGTGCACATCTCGCTGCTTCGCCGCCTTCTGGTGCAGCTTGTGCTGTACCATTGGTTGCTGCTGCCTCTTCTGCTGCTTCATTGCTTACATTTGAGCTCTATCAGTACCTGCAAAGGAAGGTTTCCCCCTCACTAAGTCATGGTTTATCGGAAGGGTTTTCTGCTGGCTTGCAGCTGCCGTTGCTTCTGCGGCTGCTGCTGCTATAGATGTTCCTGGTGTTCCTGCACCCCTGCCGCTCCGCATGTAACCGTGATGAATTCATCTGGTGCTGTTGCGGTGCTTCTGCTACAGCGCTGCTGCTGTTGCAGCATTGCTGCTCCCTTATGTGGCCTTTTTCTAGTCTCGACTCCCTGTTGTTTGCTTGTACAGAGTCCACTATGGTGTCTGGAGACCCAGAAGCTCCTGAAACAAAACAACAAGGTGAAACAGCATACGGGTCTCAGTTTCTTCAAATGGAGACACTGTCGCATGTCACTGCAACTACAAAAAGGGTTGACATGACCTCTCCGGTCAAAGATGCACTGCGCAGGAATTTTTGGAGAAGACGGAAACGTTCAAAAAGATGAAGGGGAGAGAATGAACTAAGAGCAACTGGGGAGCTCGCAGTAATACGCACAGCTCAAAGGTGCCAGCAGCAGAAGGAGAGCAGCACCAGCAAAGGCAGCAGCAATACTGGCACCAATACGATGGGCAATAACAGCTGTAGCAACAATGACAAAAACAGCAATAACACCAGCAGCAGCAACACCATTAACCGCAAGTGCGGCATCGCTACAAGAGACTCAGCAGCAACAGATGAAGCAGCTAGAGGTGCAGCAGCAATAGACCCAAGAAAAAGAGGTGCAACAGAAAGAACCAGTGAAGCAGCAGAAACAACCCGCGCAGCAGCAGCTAGTGCGGCATGTGCCCGACCCTCATCCCATCCCACCCATCCCTTGCTGGGAGACAAGGCATACGAAGGCTTGTGTTGATTGGGGAGAGAGAGGGGCTTCAGATGCAGGAATACTTCTCTCAAGGTGGTACTATATGAACTTCTAGCGTGCAGCTTGGGTACTGAGGGCCAATAGAAACGCGTTCATCAATATCCTACAGTGTTTGTGCACGCATCGGAAGGACGGTTTGGGGTGCTTGTATGCTGGGCTTCCGTGCAGCAGGAGTTGCAGTAAGGTGTGCTGCAGCTAGTGCCACAGAACCTGCATCGTATGCACACCAAAAACAGGCTCCGTGCTGCTGTACCCACGACGCCCATAGACTGGAGGGGGGTAAAGTCTGTCTTAAAGGTGCTGTTACTTTAAGTCTTCATACTTTGCTGTAGCTCACGACGGTCGTCTGCTAAGACCGAGGCTTGCTCTTTCGCGCCAACTGAGCCGTACGTAGCCTTCGTATTCACCTATGAAGACACGACTCCTTGGGTGGCGAAAACCCGCCCTAAAATATCGACGCTATGTGAGAGTGTAACGCCTTCCTGATAATTACAATACTGACTCTCCTAAAGGTCAAGAAGAGAAACGGAAGCTGCGTCTCGGGTGTGTTTCTTGTTTCTGCACATGTAGTCGTTTCTGCAAGCAAACGATCGCTTTTCTCCACCTACAGCTAATTAACTTCGCTTCAACTGCGGTTTTAGACAAAGATTATAATGGGATTTCAGTTGTTGCCTATCAAGTGATTGCCTACGATTATCCACTGGCTGCCTTGGGACTGTTCTGCATGCGCATTCTGCGACAGCTGCAGTACTTACTGCATTGTATCAAGGTGTACGCACAGCCTCGCCGTTGTTAAATATTTTAGAAGATCGTCTGTATTTTCAAAAGCATTTGTTTCTTGAGGCTTCACATGGTTTGGGGAGAATGACCCGAAGCGCAGTCCTTGCAGGAACTCCTGCTGCCTCTGCTGCGGAGGTCCATCCTGGGCGCATCAACGTGGGACAGCATTTGCCGTATACTGGCAGAGAAGTTGAAATATTCTCTCGCTACGGATACTTTTACCCCCCAGGATACCTCCCGAATACGTCTCACAACGGCTTCAGAGGACTCGCGAATCAACTCACGCGCCCGCAGTTTGGCATGAAACCTAATGTACGCTGAGCTCCTGCAGTACCCCCGTTGCAGCAGTTCTCGTTGTTCACGCTTCCCAAGTAGATATGCCTTTTGCTGTGCCTCCTTAGATATGCAGCATCGCCTACATTGCCTTAAAAGACACTGCGCTGCAAGGCAAAGAAAGCGCTGGGCTCATATTATATCTCTTCCTTTGCTTGCTTCGCAATCTCGTTTGCCGCAGTACTTCCGTTCCTTTGGAATCGGGGCCGCGAAATTTGCAGGATGCTTTCTTCTGTTTTACCTCCCCCTCGACAACGTCTACTGCAACCTACGGAAGAAGGTGAAACCCCAAAACACCCTCTAGTCAGAGCCGTGAGGAAACGTTAGACTCATCATTGCCTGCTGTATACAGATAGAAGACGGGACGTGTGACGGAGGCAGATGTCTTGTGTGTTCGTGAGTGGCTGCAGCAACGGGAAAGGCGGGCGAAAATGCGCGCCAACTAAGACGGCGTACTGGCACAACCGAAGCGCTTAGCATAATTCATCCGGCATTTTTGTGAACATGCTGTATTCATATCCCCATGACCCCAGTATTTTTACTAAGGTCGACATTTTTGGTGTTGCACCCGGGCCCCCTCGCTAGTGGGGGTATCGCTGGCGAGGTTCATAGACTTCGCCCGCGGCTGACGTACTGCGGAACCTTTCCGCCTTTCTCCATGAGTGGAACAAAGGGTTCAAAGTACCATTCCATTTGGTGTATCCGCATGACTTGCCACTGACGGGTAACGAGGGCGTGCATACACACAACACTACTGGTAACTGTAAGCATCTAAAGATACGTATACACTATATTTCTGTGTATGCGTATAAAGTATATACTTATTCACGTTGTCCTTTAAGTGCACATATATACATACGTGCTGTACTTACACACAGCAATTATGGCGAAGGCAGCGGTAAGCTCCACGTTCTGACGCTAGTGTTGGAGGCGGCACGTAGGCAAGTACAGTTGTAACAAGAAAGCGCCCCCTTCTGTAGCTTGCAGCTTTCCTCGTTTTTCCGTGTTACAACGGCTTGCCTTAGTTGTATTCAGTGGTTGTTTGGACGTAGGCAGCTCTACGGGTTGTTCGTTGTTCACTACGGGTAGTTCGTTGTACAGACCAGTGCAACTGCAACTGACACGCAGCCTTCACTTCTGCAGCAGCGTCTGCTTGGCTTCGCTGCTTGATGCATTGCTGCTGAGATGGTTCGTGGGAAACTTTAGAGCCTTTTTTGCAAGTAGGAGGTGACCTGTGTGTGCGTGTTTCAACCATGCCTGGTCTGTGTTGTTCGTATTATTGACCCTATATAATATTTGTACAAACAGGCCAGAACTGTGCAGCCAAAACTTAGATTTTTCAGGTTAAAAGTGAAATGCAAAGTCCCCTTAGCCAAAAAATCTTCAGGACAACTGATGGCCCAGAAGGTTTAGGCTTTGCACCACCAGCGAACAGGCACTGAGGCGCATGCAACGGGTTGAATCAGTCATCATACATCAACTGCATTTGCTCGTGCACGACGACCGCGTCGAGGTCGATGGCAGTGCAGTTGTTAATAGCATACAGCAGCCTTTCCCTCATAACTGCAACAGAGGAATATAACGGCATTACCAGCCGGAAGCTGCAAGTGGCGGCTGTAGGGAGGCGGTTGTCGTTTATAGCAGCGCCGCTCTGCACAAAACAAGAGAGCAGCAATGGAAGGAAATATAGCACTAGATACCTCGAAAACCCTCAAAGTATAGAGGAATCTACGGATATCAGAAAGAACACGTCGTCACTGAAATATATCGGACTACGTGAAGACCGTGCAAAAACTCACATCAACAGTTTCGTAGTCCACTGTCATTCGCCAGTCACTGCTGGCAACCGGTAGACGCGAGCGACCGCAAACGAATCTGCAGAAACGAGAAATTAAAAATTAGGCTCGAGAATGTATATGATACAGTTTGTCGGAAGACAAACAACATGAAAAGAAACCACACTCCATAATGGAAGGCAAAAACAGCCGGCTTCTGCGTGGATGTATGTGGAAATGAGATAAAATCCCGCTACCATAGGGAAGGACAGAACTACTGGGGGGATTGCAAGAGCATTAGCGCTTTGAAGTTTTTCTGAATTTATGCTGGGGAGAAGCTGCTTGCCTGAGGAAGCGCTGCATCTGTTCATTGGTGAAGGACTCAAGAATTTCAAAAAGCTGCGTTTTGAGTCGTTCTGACGAACACTCCGTGTGATCTTTTAGCCTGACCACATCAACTTCTCGGTCGCCACAGACACCATACTCGAATCGCCTGCACTCAGAACAGCCCCCCCGCACCCTAAAGCAGAAGTTGCACGACGTGAAGCCACACAGATTGCTGCTAAGCGCCGTGCAGCGGAAAGCAGCAACTACCATTTCAAATTTTAGTCCTTGTGCTTCAGAAGCTCTTGACTGAAACTGGGTGCTCAATAACCCACCGCCAGTCGAACAAAAGCCGCAGACGGCCTAACGGCAAGACAGCGGCGATGCCTCGAAGGACCGCCTCGATGCCTTCTTGGCCCTCGAGAAGGCGAAATCGTTCAGAGAGACGAATGAACGTCGCCAAGTTGAACGCGTTGACCGGGACCTCCGCACCTCCCTCCACTAACTCGCATGACCTGCCCAGAGTGTCCTCAGCGCTGAATGTCATATCTGACAAAGAAGCCTCCATCGTTTCGTCCCAGAATTGAGGCGGCACTGCAGCGAGCCGCCGCAAAGAACGCAGCATCTCCACCGCTACGCAGTCCGAGTCCGCAACGTCCTGCAGATGCACACAGACACGGACTAGTCCCCGCATCACGATGCAATCACGGCTTAGAGAAATTCTTGCAACTGCCTTATTGTACCTCACACACAAATCCACTTATTTCGCTATTGCTGCGTCAAGGCAACCCCCTTCACCCCACCCGGCTGTCACTGCCCACAAAGCGTTCTTAAAGGCGACTCTGACCTCAATGCTCAGGGGCGCTGCGACCAGCTTTTTCCACAGGAGGGGGTTCAAGGTCACGTTGAAGGCACTGCCGATGCACAAGCACATCGCCATCAGGCGGCCGAGGGCCTCGTACATGAGGATGTACAGATCATCATCAGCCGCAGCCTCCTCTTCCTGTCGGGGCGTACTCGCCGTTCGGCTTGTTGCAGATGCCGCTCCCTGCAGTTTCTCCAGCCGAGCCGTCTCCGCGAGGAAAGGGTCCACGAGTGCATCTCTATAAGGCAGCCCCAGGCCATCGGGATCATGACCCCGCGGTAGCACGCGGCGGGCGGGCGACGGAAGAGCGCTCAGAATGGTGTCCGAGGTCCACAGAGTTTCGGCTTGCAAGTTGTGGCGAAGGCGGCGATTGTGCGGCGATGCTGGGGCTGGAGAGCCTTCGCCTGGGCGGCAAACTGCATGCAGACAAGACGATGCATCGGCCTGCTGTGCAGCGGCCTCGTGGACGCGCTCCGTGCAGCCGTGGGCGCTGCTCAGGCGGCTGACAGCAACGCTGCTGTTGCTGCTGCTGCTGCTGCTGCACTCTTCTGGTGGCGGAGGAGGTCTCAAGTCCGCTGCTGAAACTAGCGGGTCCGGTAAGGCCGCGCGGGGGTCGGGGCGAAGCACGACAGAGTCCTGGTGGGGCCCGATTGCATGCGTCGAATTCAGACATGGCAGACAAGGCATGAAGGAAGAGGAGAGGAACGCATCGGGTGTCTCTGCAACTGCCCCCATGACTTCATTTGCCACCCCCGAGAGAAACTCTTGAAAGGGGCCCCCAAAGTCCGTGGCGCCCTCACCCCTAAACACCACCAGAAAGGGTCTGTCGCCCACGCGGGCTCGGAGGCGGCAGGGGTTTGCTGTAGCAGAGAGGAGCTGCATCGTAGCCTGACACCACAAGGTATGCTGCAGCAGCTTAGCCGTAGCTGCCTGGCCCCTGTCTAGCCTCAGTGATGGCTGCTCGCGACTTGAATAGCCCAACTTCTCCACGATGCTCCTCCACAACGACTCGACCATCTCGTTTGTCAGCAACGGACGCAAAAACAAATACACGCTCATTTCAATCGGCAAGTCTGAGGGGCCTACCTGCAGCACCATTTTGCTGCTGGTCAAGGCAGGGCGAGAGGGGCTTATAGGGGCCCCTCCCTTCCCCACAAGACCGCGGAAGAACGCAGAACCCGACTGTGCCGTCAGGAGGCCGTAGTAGTTGAGCGGCAACTTCGGAATATTGAACACAGGAGCCAAAGAAGGCACCGCTTCGCTGGCGCATGTATAAAAGCGGTCCAGAGTGCGCAGCCTCCGTATAATAACGTGCTGCAGCAGCAGCTTTAAAGGAATGTCCAACTCCACTTCTTGCAGCACCCCTCTGATCTGCACAAGAACCCAACACATCAACGAACAAGCCCCAAGCTTCACCCATGCATGCGTGAGTGCATACACGCCCCACAGCCCCACACATACAGAGATCAACGTGAGGCCCTGAAACCCCTGGTGCAGCATGAGAGAAGCGGGGAGAGTGTCTGAAGACGTACAAGTGCCAAGACCTCTTCCTTCAGTGCCGCGGCTCTCTCCAGTTCTTCAAGAGCGTTTGCTTTCCCAGCAAAGGGGGAAGCGGATGCGTTGGTGCTGCCGTTGTTGAGAGAAAGGAGGAGTGCGTCTCTGTCTCGATCTGACTGCCAGATGAGCGCTGCAATCCGGTGGTGCTTGTCGGGATGGTGAACGGTGCGCACCTCCTCTGGCCCATCAAAGAAATCAGCAAGCTGCCTCAGCCAAATATCGAGTTTTAAACACCAGCGATTTGAAACGGCCTGCACTACGTACACTTCGGTGTCAACAAGACACTTCATCACGAGCAGGCCCCAGCAGCCGCCACTGCCACCCCCAGGGGTTATCGTTCCCTCCTGCAGCAGCTGCTGACGCTGCTCGTGCGGGCTCCCTGCTCCGCTGGAGGCTTCCTCCAACAGCTGCACGTCGGGAGTCCACACGACGCCCCCCTCGCCCCCCAAAGACACCTGGTAGCCCAAATCTCGCATCACTTGCCGCCTCCACAAAACCCGCTGCATGCTCTTTTCCCAGCCATGCCGGGTGCCGCCTTCAATGCTGCATGCAATCGAGTCGAGAGGCAGCAGCAAAGCGCACAGATCTTCAGAGCTCTCTGCGGCCTCGGCCAATGAAGCGAGCCGCTGCAGCCCGCCGCTGTGACTGGCAGCAGCAGCATCAGCACCTGCAGAGGCTACTGGGGGCGCCTCCTCCACCGATCCACGGTGTCCAAGGCCGTCGAACATGCGGGGCCCCAAAGGCGCAGCGCCAGGTCCTTGCTGCTGCGGTATTGCTGGCTGCTGCTGGGGCGGCGGCTGCATGCGTTCTGCTGCCGACTGCTCCTCCAGCAGCAGCAGGCGCTCTGTGATGGCGACGAAGACCGTCTGCACGCCCTCTAGTCCCTCCGCAACCGCTAAGCTGCTGAGGAGAGAGGGGGAGAGGGGTGCCAGAGGCGCGCGCAGCGGAGCAGGGGATCCTTCAACACGAGGAGAGCCAGAGACGCCCCCCTTCAACTCCAGACCCCACACAAGCAGCTTCTGCAGCAGCGTCCGCGCATCCGCGCCAGGCAACGGAAGACGCCCATCAGAAGGCCGCAGCAAAGACGGGAACGCAGAACCCGTCGAACTGCTGCTGCTGCTGCTGCTCTTGCTGCTGCCGCTGCTTGGGAGGGCCGTTCCATAGCTGGCGTGGCTGTCTCCTGCTGTACCCGAAGAGGCTCCAGAAACGCGCTGGGGAGGGCTCACTGCAGCAGAGTTGCTGCTGATGAGGCTCGTTGTAGAGGACCTGCCTGCCCATGCACCAATTCCTCCCTCCCCAAAATCCGAGACTTTGTCTCCTGCGCTGCTGCTAGAGGGCGCCAAGGGCCCCTTGAGCGAAGAAAGCCGCCTGCCTCCCGTCTGCATCTGTAGCTGGACCTGCTGCTGCAGCCCTCCTGCGTGGGAAGGGGCCCCATGCAGCCCTCCTGTTGCACCTTCTGCCCCCCCACCAGGAGACACCAGCGTTGCCTTGTCGGCTTCGGCGCCTTGCGCGTCGCGGCGTTCTCCGTCAATGTACAGCGCATGCAGCCCCAAAGCAGCCTCCCCTGCGCCCCCGACCACTACCGTGCAGTTGGCAAGGAGAGAACCCCACATCGAAGGGGCGCATGCACTGATGCCTGCGGCTTTGGCAGGTTTTGGGGCTGCCTTCCAGGTGTTCCATTTGCTGTAGGCAGCAGCAGATATGAGCCGCGCCTGATGCACCTCCCCTGCTACTGCTGCACGCTCCAGCAAGGCAAGCCCCACCTCAACGCATTCACGTGAGGCCTCCCCGACTGCTACGTTTGTCCCTCCAAACTTCACTAGAGGGCTGATGCCTACGTTGTTCTTGAGGGAGGCGTCTGCTCCAAGGGACAGCAGCAGCCTAATGGTGTTGTAGCGGCCACCTGGAGACACCCGAGCCGTAGGGTTGAGCCTCTCGCTGCTGGTCTCCGGAGCTTCAGCAGCTCGAACCGCCGCCTTGTGCAACGCGGTGTCCCCATGGGCATCGCGCCGGTCCACCCACGCCCCGTACGTACACACCAAAGCAGCCACTAGCCTATCCTGCCCCAACTCTGCAGCAAGCATCAACGGAGTGATGCAGTCGCTGCTGCTGCCATATCCCTCAGGGTTGCATCCCCCCTCCTCTATCAACACCTGTACCACGTCGCTGTACCCTTTTCTAATCGCCAGCTTCAGAGGAGTGTCTTGCGCGTGTTCACCGTACAGAGCGGTGATGTGCTGCTGCAGCTGCTCGTTGCTGCTGTTGTTGCTGTTGCTGCTACTGCTGTTGCTGTTGCTGCCGCCGCTACTGCACCACGTTGCCAGTTGCTGCTCCAGCGATGCGAAGGTGCAGCTGCCGGGGGCTGCTGCTGCGTCTTGAGCTTCTAGCCAGTTTGGGAATTGAGCAAAGAAAGTCATGAGCCACCGCACGTTTCGCTCCTTGACGGCTTGAAAAAGTGCATACACTGTGCCCTGGTGTACTTCCAGACGCCGACCAGATGAGGGGGGCCCCAGGGCCCCCAGGCTTCTGGGACCTCCAGAGCTGCATGCAGAAACCAACTCGGTGCTTCTGAACCGCTGAGGAGGAAACACCACCGTATCTCTCTCCTTCGCTGCAGCAGATGTAGGCCCCTGCAGCGCTTGCTGGTGCTGCTGCTGCTCATGTTGCACCTGCTGGGGTTGGAGAAGCTGCTGCTGCTGGTGCTGCTGTTGGTGTTGCTGCTGCACGTGCATCTGCTGCTGCTGCTGAAGAGCAGCACGGGGGGGTTGCTGCCACTGATAGAACTTGTCGAAGCTGAACCCAAACTGATAGACATCGTTTTTCTTGAAGAGCAGCGCGGGGATAGCGGGTTGAAATTCAATCTCCACCATATCTCGCAGAGAGAACCCCGGAACCCCAACGGTAACATGCGTCTCTCGCCAGCCTTCTGCAGATGCCTTAGGGGCCCCCCGTGCGTTCAGTTGGGCCCCCATTGCATGCAGGCGCATCAGCTCCCCCAGTGGCAAGTCCAGCGGGCACAGAAGCCGCCCGTTAGAGAACCACAGCCAACGACACAAACCCCACACGATGCCCACCATCTGCGTCCCTGATATTGCTGCTGTTGCTACTCCTGCTGCTGTTCCTGCTGGTGCTCCAGCCCCACCGACATTGCCTTTAAATTGCACCCGGAAAGGCAACGCCGGGTGTACAAACCCCACGTCCAGAAGAGGACCGCTCCCCCGGGTGCCCTCATCCGTCTCGCCGCTTTGGCTGCTAAGGAGCCCCTGCTGCTGCCGCGTGTTTAATATACACGGAGAAGGGCCCCTAGAGGCCCCCTGACCCGTCGAGGGGGCTGAAGAGAGGACCGCCCGCGTGGCCGTGGGGGAGGGCCCCGCTGGGGCCCCCCCCCCCAGTTGCAGCAGAGGGGCCTCCCCTGCGCCATGCTGCAGCAATTCCCCCTGAGCAACACTCGGGTTGGGCTGGCGGGAGTCAGCAGCCGGCCCCACACCCCAGGAGTCGGTGCTGCCTGTTGCTGCAGTTGCCGCATTTGCTGCATTTGCTGCATTTGCTGCAGCTCTTGCTGCTTCAGCTTCCTCTCTAGGGCTGTCACTAACGCCTTCCTCTGTGGGCTCGCGGCTTGCCTCCGGCCTCTGTACCCACTTCCATACTGCTGAGGAATATGCGGCGGGGGCCCCCACAGGCAGCCGCAAGCTGACACCCCCCCGTATTTTAGGAGACAGAGAAAAGACCCGCCAAGGTTGGGCTGTGGCGGCTGCCTCAGCAGCAGGGGGAGCAACTGCTGCAGCTGCAGCAGCTGAAGCAACATTCTGGCGGCCCCCCGCAGCCTCTTCTTTCTCGCGTTCTCCAACGCCTTTTGGATCTCCCAGAACAGATGCAGCGGCTGCTGAGGACGCAGCAGCAGAAGCAGCAGCAGCAGCTGCTGCTGCTGTTGCGGCGACGCCCTCGGTCTTGCAGCAGGCGGCGCCTCCAGGGGCCCCAACAAGGTATGCCGGACACTCCGCTGGTGCGGGTTCGAGAGAATAAAAGGCCTCATAGAAGGGAACGACAATGGGGCAGTTGGAAGCGGCGGGCCCCACAGTTGCACAGAAGAGGAGACGCCTCCATACTGAGGAGACAGCTGGGGAGGCGCGGGCAGCAGGCCCTTCCCCGCGCAGCAACAGCACAGGTACCACCGCTGTGCATCCAGGAGGTAGCATCTGAGCCGCCAGAAGCTGCTCATGAGCAAACCAGAGCAGGTGGCGCCCCACAGCACGCAGCACGAGCTTAAGGCCCGGCGAGCCCACTATAGAGTGCAGCGCCTGGGGGGCCCTCCTCTCCCCTCGTTGGGTCCCCAGCAAGGAAGCTAGGAGGCCCCTTCGCTTCTCCCCTCTCGGGGGCCCCTCAGGAAGCCCCCAGTGGCGTCCGGGCAACTGCTCCTGAAAGCCGCAGAGCACTTCTCCTGATGTAAGCTGCAGCAGCGCAGCGTCGCTGCTGCAGTCCCAGTTGCCTGCTAGCAGCTGCTTCCACAGTCTGCTGTCTATGGCTCCGAAGAAGACCCGAGAGAGAGGAAATAAACCCTCATCGAACGCATTCACCTCTCCCATGCTCCCTCCAGCTGCTGCATGCACTGCGAAACAGACGCTGCAAGAAGCAGACGAAGCCCCGCACTGCAACGGCACGCTGCTGCATGCATACACCCCACCGCCCTTCAAGCAACCGTGCAAATTTGAGACCTCCAGACGAGCTAAGGGGCCCCCAACGCCAGCAGACTCAGCACGCCCGCTCTGTCCCTCACAAGGCTCCCGCACCACAGACAGATGCAACTCGTCCTTCATAAGGTCGCCTTCGCTGCTGCTGCTGTTGCTGCTGCTGGTAGTGGTGGCTGCGGGAACAACAGGTATCCAGTCTGGAGTTATGCTGGAGTTGCTGCTTTCGCCAACTAAGAGTTCAAAGTTGCGATCTAGAGACACGATAAGCCTGGGGGTCTTGCGCAGATGTTCTTTGCCCTCACGTGCTGCTGTCTCTCCTGTTGCGTCCCCTGCGGCTGTCTCCTTTTCTGCGTCGGCTGGCGGCTGCAGCAGCTGTCCGTGCTGCAGCAGCTTTCGCCGATGCATGCCTTCTAATGGCTCTATGTTCAGCAGCCAACAGGAGGCCGGCGGGGAATCAATGCTCCCTATAGCGCGCGTACACCGTACGGGTTCTGCTATGGAAACACTTACCAGCCTCTTCTGTATATCCCGCATAAACTGCTGAGGGAAAACGACAGCGGCTGCTTCTCCTTCAGCAAGAGAGGGGCCCTGAGCCCGGCGCATCTCAGGACCCACACCGCCGCTATCTCTGCTGTCGCGGCGCTGCGGCATAGCATCGTGGACACGCGCCTCGACGCTTCTGCTGGTGCTGCTGCTGCTGTTACTGCTGCTGCTTCTGCTGCTTCTGCTTCTGCTGCTGCTACTTCTGGAGCTGGCACATGCGTTGTGGGGCGAAGCGGGAGCCCCGATGTGTGGGGCGAGTTGCTGCTGCGGGGTGTAGCAGGAAGCCTTCGCTACACCCTCAGCAACGAGAAGGTACTGCGCAAGATCAGTAAGGAGGCGAGCGTTGTTGAACTGCACCCATAGGACACATCCCCAGCGGTCTGCCTTCATAATAGAGACGCATGCATTCACCAGGTAATGCGTCAAAAGGCTGCAATTGATGCGGTAACGAACATGGATTCTATTAAGGTCCGCAGCACAGAAGCAGTCGAGACTTGCGGGCCTCCAGTTATTTACCTTTTCCATATTATCAAAGACAGAGGCACTAAGGAACCCAAGACACTCAAAATAACTCAATAAATATCCTAAAAAGTTGCGCCCGCCCCCAGCAAGCTTACACCCATCTGCAACAATATAAACATCGCCACCGAAAGACCCAGCAAATGCCTTTCGGCCCCGCTGCTGCACCTGCATGCAACTGGAAGAGGTGTAGGAGTCTGCGCATGCAGCCGATCCCCGAGAAGGAGCAGCGAGAGCAGCGGCAGCAGAAGAAGAAGCATCAGTATCTGTTGTATATCTTGACAGCATCCAGTGCGTCATACGCGCAGCATCAAGACCCAGCTTAAGGGGAAGGTTGACTCCATTAATGAGGAGACCGAAGAGAGAAGAATAAGAAAGAGGAAAAACAAGTGCTTCTCTGAGCCTTCCAGGACACAGAGGATGTCTAATAAAGCTGTCCATTAGCCAATGCCCTACGTACACCGAAGGCGCTAAAGCGCAGTACTTGGGGGTTTTCTTACGTCTCCCAGCGTTACCTATAACCTGCCCCACAGATCCCATCAAGTGGTATAGCAGCTCTGTCTGCAGCAGCCTCTGGAGCCTTTCTTTGCATTCTTCTTCTTTCCAGGTGGAGACAGCTCTATAGAAGAGCCGCTGCCAACCAAAGAGAGGGCATGCCTTAATGCTGTGGCTCTCTAACTCCTGCAGCAGCTTCATAGAAGGCGCCGACTCTAAGTGCGGGCGAAACGGCTGCTGGTAGTCCGGCACCCCATCATCACTCTCCCGGCTAATGAAGTAAGCGCAGATTCGTAGAAGGCGCACCAGATTCACCGCCCCAGGACGAGGCATACTCTTCTTCAAGTCGCTCCCACTGCGAGACCCCACAGGATCCCTTATCCCTCTGCATGCAGCAATACACAACAACGGAAACAACAACAAATATACCAACCCCACACGCACACCGTGCATGCATGCAATACACCCCACACCACACACTACAAACACACGGCAACCCCGAGAGAACCCCTGAAGCCTCTGCTTCCGTCTAAAGCCATGCCGCAACAGCAGCAGCAGCAACAATTGCTGCTGCTGCTGCTGCGTTCGCGTTTGTGCGCCTGCGACCCCAGTACCATGTTCATTGATGGCACCGGAGTAACGCGAGATACGTGGCTGTGTATTGCCGTGTATGCATTCGCTGCGAAGAGTCCCTGTGTGCATTGTTCAGCAGCACATTGCATGCTTTTTGTGTTCTTGTTTGTTGGGGGCCTCACTTGTAGAGACGATCGAGCAGCAAGTCAGGGCAGAGAGCAACGATAGTACAGACAAGGTGAAGGGCATCACGGCGCAGAGCCCACCGCAAAGGAGGCTCTAAGAGACGATGCAGCATGCGGCTAGACCAAAGCGAGCAGGCCCCTTCATAGTTGAAGACACGCACATCTACAGGGCCTTTAAAGTGAATGTATCCCCCCTCTTGTCGCGGCTTAAGCAGCAGCAAACTCGCAGCAGCACAGTCCCAACCCCTGCCAATGAGCTTCTGGACAAGAAGCAACTGTCTCCTCTTCTCGGCACCCTCCGACCTGTCTCCGTCGTCTCCGATGTCTCCTTCGATTTCCTTCTCTACAGCTGCGAGCGGCCCCGTTACTGTCTCTGCTGCCGCAGCTACAGCTGCATGCAGCGCGTCATTGTAGGCCTCGTTCAGTCTGTACACCCAACTCCAAACCTTCGCTGTCTCTCCTGCTGCCAGCACCGCCTCCCCAGAGACAGCCAGAGGCTCTATTTCCTCACACTGCAGCACGCACTCTGGCACCCCACAAAGACGCGCAATCCTTGCTAGCTTCAGCTGTCCCTCCCCTTCTGTCGCCTCCGCTGCAGCAGCAGCAGCAAACCCACGACCAGCAGGGGCCCCTGGCAACGACACCTCGTGCGGCGCTGCAGCTGAGGGGACTGCCCCCGAACCTCCAGCCGGGGCCCCTCCTCCAGCTGCTGCTGTTGCTGCAGCAGCAGCAGACGGCGTGGAAGGAGCTGCTGCAGGGAGACGCAAGTCCGGCACGCTGGCAGAACGTGCACTGCGCTGCTGCGGGCCTAACAGAGGCAGTTGAGCTGGGGCTGCTGTGCTTGTGCATGCAGAGGGGAAGCAATCAGGTGCTTCCTCCGCCCCGAAGGGGTCAATCTGATGGCTTGCAAGGCCTGATGTGAGGAGACAGAATTGTTCCATGAATAGGAAGACCTTAAGGAGACACTTTTTTGCTCGTTCGCTAAGCCGGGGGTCCCCTTCTAGCTGCTGCTGCTGCAGCAGGGCCCGCAGCAGCAAACACAGAGCCACCACCGCTTTGCTGCCCAGCGTCAACGCCAAGGCCTGCAGCTCCGCCCACTCTGCTGAGGGTGCCACCACGTGCCCTGCAGCTGCTATTTGATGCAGAGTCCCTTGAACAACAGGAGACGTTAGCAGCTCGCAAACAGCTATTGTTAAGGCCTCGCACTCCTCTGCTCTCAACCCTGCGACGGCTGATAGATGGAGGCACGAGGTGCTTACAAGCCAAGGAAGACCCAGGGCCTCCGCCTCTGCTGTATTGCAGCTGCAGTTGCAGCTGCCGCTGCTGCTGCTTCTCCTGCAACTGCCGCTGCAGCAGCAGCTGCCGTTCCCGTGGCTGGGAGGCCCCCCACCTCTCGAGGGGCCGCTAGCAGCTGAAGGATGGATGCCGTCTGGGTCGATGGTGCCTGGGGGTCTTTGTCTCTCTGCTCTCTCCAGTACATCTTGCAGCTCTCCTCTGCCTGAGCAGTCGCAGCAAAGAACTCCTAAAGCAGCAACACCCCGCCTGCAAGCCTGCAGCATCTCCTGCTTCGCTCTTGCTGCACGCTGCTGCTGCGGGTGAGGACAGGGCCTCAGCCCTGTGCTCGTTTGTCTCCTCGGCGGCTCGCAAACCCCCTTCAAATCTTCCCCGCCGGGCTGCTGCTGCTGCTGCAGCATCTGCTGCTGCAGCTCTCCGCTGGATTCTCTGCCAAAGGTAGAGCGTCTGTCGCGTAGCCCCCTGTTGAGTGGAAGCTGCAAACTGTCTCCTCTCCCGAATAGGCGTTGTGGGGCTTCCTCGCCTGTCGGTTCTTGGAGGTCTTGGCTGTTGTTGCTGCTGCTGCAGCAGAGACTTTCAAATACACTCCCTAGACACCCGGTGCAGTGATCAATCGCGAGGGCCAGCTGCTGCAGCGCGCTGCGGCGCTCCCCCCGCAGCAACAGCGGCTTCTCCGGTGCCTGCAGCACCGCCTGATAGAGACGAAGGCTTTGAATAACAAGAGGATGGAGACGAAGAGACCGCAGCGTTTGTTGCGAAAGTGGAGGCCTCGCTGCAAGAGCAAGAGCTTGCGGTGCTGCTGCTGCATGCGCAGCAGCAGAGACACCAGCAGCCCCACCAGCACCTCCCGCTGCACCTGCTAAGAGGCCCTGCTGCGAGCTCGAGGGTAGAGCGTCTGGATCTGTATACTGCAGCGTGAAGTCAGGGCCCCCATACACAAGAGTGAGTGGATCCTGCAGCACGAAGACAAGATTCATGCGCCTTCTTTGTTCAATTTGGGAGTGCTGATCATAAAAGACCTCCAATACAGAGCCGATGCTCTCCCCAGAGACATGCAATTCAGTATGCAGACATCTCTGGCCGTTAGGTTGTTCATCTACAGAAAACCGCACACTTAAATAATCACCCGGTTGATAAGAGACAGTTGTAGCAAAGACATCTCCCCAGAAAGGGGGACAGCTGCTAGTACGGAAGCCAACAACATCATTACGTTCAAAGATGTCTTGTGCTGCAGACAGCACGCAATCTGCTGGGGCTACGGTTACTCCAAACCTCCCTTCTGACCAAACCCTAAACCCTATAACATCTGCTGCCTCTCCAGGCTCTACCTGCAAAGCAGGGAAGGTTAGAGGGGCTCGACATATAGCAACACCCCCTAACTCTCTTGCTCGCAGTACATGCAATGTTCTTCCGTGCACTTCAGCTTGAAATTCATCAGAAGGGACTCCGCATAAAAACACCTCAGACTGAGGTAAAGCAGCAAACAACTCTCCTCCGTCTCCCTCAACAAACGAGCCTCCACCCCCTGCATGCGAAGAGACACGGCTTCCTGATTCTTCTACACCTCCAGAAACTATTTCCATAGGTGAAGGACCCCCTGCAGCAGCAGCACCACCACCAGCACCAGCAGCAGCAGGCCACGGGGACCCAACAGCCGTCTCTTGCTGCTGCACGGGTAGTACAGCCCCATCCCCAGACGCAGTGACTGTCTCCTCCCCTTCCGTTCGTAAAGGCAACTCGCGGCCAGCAGCAGCAGCAGGAGCTGCTGACAGGGGCCCTTCCAGGGGCCCCCCCACAGCAACAGCCTCTGGGGGTTCCTGGTGCAGCTGCAGCAGAGGGCCTGCAGAGTGCAGCAAACTACCTAAGCTAACCGCCTGCAAAGGAGGCAGCAGACGACACCCTGAGGTGTCTGCTGAACTCTCTCTTGAGAACAGCCGCTGGCCGCCCCCGCCCCACATGGGCCCAGGCGCCCCCAGCAGTGAAACACCCCCACCTGCTGCTGCTGCTGCACCTGCTGCTTCTGCTGCTGCTGGAGGCCCGAGGCGCCTCACGCACTCCGTCATCAATTCATAAAGACGTGTCTTCACAGGCAGAGTGCGAAGGACAGCCTCCAGGTGTACAGGCAGCCCCTTGAAGTTGAGTAAAAGGGTTTTCAATAGAAGCAGCGCAGCTCCAGAAGAGGCGCGCACACAGCCCAGCAGCAAAATGAAAGTTCTATCAATAAGGCGCTCCGTAATAAGCAGCTTCTCAGGTAACACCCCTGCAGCAGATGCCCCCCACGCGGCTTCCTCCTCTGCCCCTAAGGACCCTCTGTCTCCAAAGCTGCTGCCTTCACTCGTTGCCCTGCTAACTAAGGCAGCTTCTGCTGCAAATGCTGCCTCGCCTCCATCATTTTCCTTCTTCTCCTCGCCTTCTCCCCTTCCTAACCCCGTTGAGCTGCGCGACCACAGAGGAAATGTATCTGCTGCAGCACCCCCTCGCAACCCCAAGCTGCTGCTGCGCCGGAGATCTCGCAGTGTGTGTGTCTGCAGCTCAGCTAGAAGCTGAACGACGTGAAGGCATAGACGAAGAGAATCCACAGCCACTGCTGTCCTCTGCATGCTGCGCTGCAGCCCCAAGGAGGGAGTCGGAGGAGGAGAAGGAGGCCCATCAAGGGTTTTTCGAGAGGCCCTTTCATGCTGCTGCTGCTGCTGCTGCTGCAGCTGCTGGGAAGCAGCAGCAGCAGCAAATGACCGTCGCTCCCGCTCCTCAGCAGCCTCCTCCTCTGACCCCGTCAACACAAACCATAACGCTGCTTGAAATGCTCTCCATGCACTCTGCTGCAGCCGCAGCCGCGCGCCTTCGTACTCTCGACGGAGTGTCTGCCTCCCCTTCTCCTCAAGACCCCAGGAGACACCCCACGGGAAAGAAGAGAAAGGGTCCTCTCCTCGCAGCAGCAAACCCTGGGGGCCCCCGGGGCCCCCCAAATTCGTCGAAGGCAACTTGAGGGCCCCCCCATCCACCTCTTCTCTTGAAACCCCCCCACCTGTGGAGCTACTACGCTCCACCCTGCCCGGGATCTGGGATCGGGAATCGTCTCTCGCTGCCCCCGCCGATCCCTCTCCACTTGTGGGGGGGGCCTCATACACAAGGAGGCCCTTTGCAACCCAAAGGTGAGCCCATAGAGAGTCAGAGAGCTGAACAGATGTTTCTAAAACAAACCCTTCCCGTTGCAACAAGGAAGACGGGGGCCTCAAGCATGAGTTGCTCTCTATGCTGCTTCTGCTGCTGCTGCTGCTGGAGGAGAAAGCATTAAAGGAACGACCCCACAAGTCTTCTCCCTCCACTTGGAGCTGCAAGCGTACTTCCCCTATGGCATCCTCGCGCCCGTCTGCCTCCCCTGCAGCTGCACCTGAAAATATTCAACGAAAGTAACAAAAATAAAACATCAACAGCACAATAAGGCAATAACATAAACAAAACAATAATAATATAATATCTCACGCATGCATTCTACCCACCAGCAGTAACAACACCAGCAACAGCAGCAACAGAAGCAGCAACAACAGCTGCAGCAGCGATAGAAGCAGCGCAGGTAATAAAGCCAAAGGAAGTGCAGCAGCATCTAGCTAGCGGCAGAAGAAAGAGGGTAAGCAAAGTGGAAGAGAAGACAGAGACGGAGACAGAGATGCATGAAAGACAGGAGATGGAGGAGAGACGAAAAGGAGGCGCAGAAGGCGACAGAGAAGACAAACGAAAAGGAGACAGACAAGAAATATGAGACATATAGAGAGAAAGAGAAATAAAAAAAGAAAGCAAGAAAGAAGGAAGAGGGAGAAAGGGCGAAATAAAGAAAAAAAAAGGAGAAAAGAGGGGGGGAAAGTGAAGGAAAGAAATAAAGAAATAAAGAAAGAGAGAGAGAGAAATAAAGAAATAAGGAGAGAAAGAAATAAAGAAAGAAAGAAAGAGGGAGAAAATAGAAGAGAGTGAGACAGGAAAAAAAGCAAAAGAATAGTAAGAAAGAAGAAGAGAAGAGAGTGAGAAAAGATAAGAAGACGATAAATCAAGAGGGGAGTGATTGCGTGTGTATAGAACCTGAGACAAAGAGGGTAAGAGGAGCTGCTGGGTCTCTCTGTATTTTTCTTCGTGTTGTTGCCTTTCCATTTGCTGCTGCAGCAGAAGAGAGAAAAGAGTAAAATGTCTTTAAGGGGGGTGTGAATGCAGGAGCGGTGTGTCTGCGCTGTACGTACAGCAGCACTACCCAACCCCCCATACAGATCTTCTCTTTTAAGTGAAATCCCTCTTGAACTAAGCTCATATCATCTGAGCTCCATCGTCTGCTGTCTATACACCGCAGTGCTGCGCCCGTCACTGCTGCCCCTAAAGGCAGATACACCGCACGAGGAGACGGTGAAGAACTCAAACAATCTAAAGAAGAAAACAAACTTGTGAGGCGTTTAAAAGCAAGACCTTCCCTCTCTCCTGCTGCTAATCCTCCTGTTCCTCCTGCTGGTGCTGCTGGTGCTGGTGCTGCTGCTGCTGTCGCTGTTCCTGCTGCTGCTGCTGCTGCTGGGCGTGTGGCGGCAGAAGTAGCAACAGCTGCAACAGCGTCAAAGGAAGATCCTCTGGTATAAGTGTTGTTTCGCCCTGCTCCTGCTGCTGCTGCTGCATCTTCTTGAGGGTCTCTTGACTGCACTGTCTCTAAGGAGACGCCTCTTTGTCTGTTGTCTGCAGCATGGAGGAGACGAAGAGGGACCGGGAGGGCGAGGGTGAGGAGATGCTGCAGCAGCAAGACAGCGCTGCCGCTGTAGCAGCCGCCGCCGCTGCTGCTGCTGCCGCTACCGAAGGGCTCCTTGCCCAGGCATAAGTGCAGCGCCAGCAGCTGCAGCTCCGCCTCCATCCAGCAGCAATCTGAGGGGAGCAGCTGCATAACCCCAGGGCTGTAGGGGAACGTCAAGCAAAACATATCGTTCATGTGTTGCTGCACGTGCAAGCAGAAGGCCGTCCTGCGATAAACAGCAGCAGCAGCAGCAACAGCAACAATAACGGAAGCAGCAACTGCTGGAAACAGCTAAACATAAACCACAGGACAGCATGCACAAACGAAACACATGCTCTCTCTGCTGCTTCTGCTGCTACTTCTGCTGCTGCTGCTGCTGCTGCTGCTGCTGCTGCTGCTGCTGTGGAGACTGCGCATTCTGCGTGTGAGGTCTCGAGGTGAAGGGCAGCAGCTGCTTCGGCGGCGAGCCATCTGTCCTTCAGCAGACACTTGAATAACTAGTTTGCTGTTTTATTGCTTCCTCCGTTTCTTGACTTTTCATTTTATTTTTTATTTGTTTATTTTTTTATGCTTTTGCTTACCGCACGATTTCACCCAGAGAGGCATCCAGCGTTTCTGCGAGGGGCTGCGATTTCCAGAAGGGCTGCTGCGCGCTGCTGCTGCTGCTGCTGCTGCTGCTGTGGCTGTTGCTGCTGCGGCTGCGGCTGCTGCTGCTGCGGCGTCCCTCACCCCCCTTACCAGTTGGTTCTGTCTGTATAGCTGCGAAGGCGGAAGACACTCCAAGCAAGGAGACCCCCACTGAGTGCAGCAGCCGCAGCAGCAAAACCCCTGCATATCGTTTAGCAGTACCGCTGGGAGGTGTGCTTAAAGGGGTTCGTACAGCAACCCCTCGGGTGCGCCCATCAGCAGCAGCAGCAGATGCTGCTGCTGATGCTGCTGCAGCTGCTGGTGAGGGCAGCAGCAGCTGCAGCAACAGCGGCAACCCCGTTCCCTGGCGCCCCCCTCCCCCTTCTAGCTGCTGCAGCGCGCAGCCACCCTCTGAGCTTGCTGTTGTGCAGCTAACTTCGCGGCAGCTGCTCTCGCTGCCTTCTGAGTCAAGCCCCCGCTGCTGCACCTGCAGCACACCGTCGAAGCAACAAACTGTCTCCGCAAGGAGACAGCAAGCCCGTCCATAAGGGAGAGGAGCAGAGGGGCCCCCCCCACCTGACACCAACCTACGAGCGCATGCAGGAGGTGGGGCTGTATCAAACCTCTTGCTGCTCCGAACCACCTGCTGCTGCTGCTGCTGATGCTGTTGCTGCTGCTGCTGCAGTGGTGCTGCTGTGGAGTCCACAGTTGCTAGTAAGCCTTCACGTGTGCCGCAGAAGCCAGCAGCACTTCTTGCGGTGTACGCATCATCTGCTGAAGTGTCTGGCAGCACACGGTGTGGGGCAGCAGCAAAAGGAAGTAGGCCTTCGTGGGAGCTGCTGTGGGGGGCAGCAGCAGCAGCCTCGCTGTCGAGGAGACAAGCGGCAGCAGCGGCAGGTGTCTCCCCGCTGCAGCAAAGCCCCGCAATCATCAGAGCCCTTAGGCTATTCAAAGCAACTAAACGCATAAGAGAAGACATCTGCTCCACCAGCAGCACACGCCGCGTTGTCTGTACATCCGCCCCATTTAAGAGAAACTCTACAAAGCACTGCAAGCTGCTAGCAGTGACGCCCCCCGAGCCGCTGCTGCTGCTGCTGCTGCTGCTGCGCCAAGCAGACCCCAACCCATACCCTCCTCCTCGACGCCGCCCCAGCTGCATCCACCGTGAACGTGCTGCAGCACTCCGCAGCGTGAGGACACCCCACGCTTGAGGGTTTGCTCTGCGGCTCCTGCGTGCTGCTGCTGCTGCAGCAGCAGCAGCATGGGCGGAGGCGGCCGTTCCTGAGCCTTCGCCTCCTGCACCCGAAGCAGCAGCTGCAGCAGCAGCTTCTTGTGTTGCTGCAGCAGCAGCAGCTGCTGCTGTACGCGATAAGGTGCCCCAGGGCTGCGAAGCGCTGCGCCTGCTGCGGCGGCGCCCACTGCGAAGGAAGCGCTTCAGCATCTGTACACTGCGAGCGAAGCTGATGCTGCCAGGGGGGCCCCCTGCTGAGTTGCTGTCTCTTTTGTGCAGCAACAAGGGGCCCCTGCTGCTGCTAACTGTCTCCTCGCATCGATCACGAGATTGGCGGAGAGGTGCCGCCGGCTGCGTGTCGCTGCAAGCACTCGGCCCCACACGCGAACCAGACCCCCACATACCCTTCTGCTGCTGCTGCTGCTGCTGCTGAGGGTGCTGGTGGTGGTGGTGCTGCTGCAGGCGTGCGCCACCGGTACCTGAGAGACCCCCAGCTGAGCCCCAGCCTCTCCTCTGTCCCCCCGCGATGCAGGGAGCGGAGACACTGCGCAGCATCGATGAAGCCCCCGCTGTCTCTCGAGTGTGGGGCCCCACAGGGTGGCTGCTGTTCAGGTGTCTCCCCCAGCGACGAGATATCAATGCACGGCCCTCAGGGGTTGCTAGCCCCCGAGGGCAGCAGGTCAGCAGCCAGAAGCAGCGGTTTACTATCTCGCGCGCCTCCTCTGCTCGACTCGGAGGCAGCATCTGCTGCTGCTGCTGCTGTTGTTGCTGCTGCTGCTGCTGCTGTTCGGGGTGAGCGGGGCTCGCTGGCCAACTGCTGCCGCTGGACGCGTCGCCCACGCACGACTCCTCGGATTCAGAGAGAGCGAGGGGTGTGGGGCTGCTGCAGCATTCTGTCTCTGCTGCTGCAGCTGTCTCCTTCGCTGCTGCTGCCCCCTTCTCTGCTCGCCTTCGCTGCCAAGCAGCAAGCAGCTGAATCACCGCTCGTTTGGATACAGAAGCAGCAAGACAGATCTGCTGCTCTGCTGCAGCAGCAGCAGCTGTTGCTGCTGTTGCTGCTGTTTGGCCCCCCTCTCCAGTGTCTTCTTCATAACCTAACAAATGCAGCACAGCAGCAAATATCGCCCGCTGCACTGCAGCAACACGCGGATGGAAGCCAGCAAAACGCGCAGCTAGCTTCGGGTCCCCGCACTCTCCCTGCAGCAGCCGCAGCAGCGAGGGGCAGCAGTTGCTTCTCAAACCTCCAACTCCTCTCCCTGCTGCTCCTTCTGCTGCTGCTGCTGCTGCTGCTGCTTCTGTGGCAGCAGCAACAGCGGGGTCGGAGGGCCAGCCGGTGAAGGGAGCCAGACGGTGGCTGACGCCCAGAGGGAAGGAGCCTAGGGCTTTTCTATTTGTTGCTCGTTCCTCTTGAGAATCAGCAGCAGCAGCATCACGATCAGCAGCAGCAGAAAGTGCTGCTGCTGTGGGCCCCTCTTTGTTGTTCCCTGCTGCACCGCCTTGGGCCCCCAGTGCTGCAGCAGATATCTCGCGGCAGTGGAGTCGAAGGCTGCCTGACTGGTGCGCTTCTTCGTGAGGATGCAGCAGCAGAAGCTGTTGCTGTTGCTGCTGCTGCTGCTCTTTTAAGCTTGTAAGCTTGAAGCTGCTGCTGTGGGGCTGCTGGGTAGCTGCCAGGAAGTCCTCTACAGCAGCAGGAAGACCGATGAGCGCAGCACGCTGCAGCAGCAAAGTCCGCGGTGTATAATCCAACAGCAGCAAGAGACTCGGCCTCAGCGCCTGCTGCAGCTGCTGCAGCGGGTGGCTTTCAGCAGCAGCCATATACTGCGCACCCCACAGCAGCACAGGAGGCAGCGAGGAGACAGCACGCGAGACCGCATGCAGAGCCTGTCCCTCGGGTGTCTCCGCAGACACTGCATGCGACAGATCAACACTGGCTAGCAGGGAGGGGAAGTTGCTGCTAATAAGCTGTTGCAGCACGCTGCCTGCAGCAGCAACAAGCCCCAGCAGCTGCTGCACCAACGGATGCAGCAGCCCCTGCTGCGGCTCCTCAGAGACGCAAGAATTCAACTGCCGCAGCAGCAGCAAACTGCGAAGAGACAGCTGCAGCACACTCGGCCACAAGCGCAGCACAAACCCTAACGCAGCAACCACTACTTCAGCAACCTCCGCCTCGAGCACCACCACACTGCTGCTGCTGCTGCTGCTGTTGCTGCTTTGGGGGCCCTCGTTGTCCTGCACAGTAGAGGCCAATAGCTGCAGCAAAGGAGTTAAGAAACTCAGCAGCGGCAGCACTCCTCCACCAAGGTAAGCAGAGCCATGCAGCAGTGCTGGCGGGGGAAGCCCAAGGGGGCCCCTCAGCTGCTGCGCCTGCACTGTACATGCACCGCAGTTCCCTCCTAGTTGCAATCCATCTGCAGCAGCAGCAGCAGCAGCACCAGCAGTTGCTGCTGCTGCTGCTGCTGCTGCTGTTTGTCCCCTCCCTGGCTCACCCACCAAATGAAATACTGCACTGGGGCCCCCTAGTTGAAAGGCATCTAGCATGAGGCTGAGGAGACAGTTAGCTGTTCGCAGAGAAGCAGCAAATAACTTCTCTAAATATTGACAAGCAGCAGCAGCAGATGTCCCTCCTGGCTGCTCCCAAAGCAGCAAAGGGCCTCCAAATGACAACCCGGGGGCCCCCCCACCCTTCCCCCGCCGGAGCTGGGGGCCCCCACGCAACTGCATTGCAGCAGCAGAGGCTCTGCTGCTGCTGAAAGGAGACGCTGCTGCATCTACAGAAAGATACTGAAGTGAAGGACCGCCAGCCCATGCAGCAGGGGCTTCTCTCTCAGCCCCCGCTGCAGCAGCAGCGTCGCTGCAGCGCCTGCTGCTGCTGCTGCTGCTTCTGCGCTGCCGTTCGCTGCTCTTGGGGCCCCGTGCAGCCCCCGCACGCCGCAGGAACCTGAAGAGATGCGCAAGCCACAACTCTGCTGCATGCCGAGTCAGCTGCGCAGCAACGCGACCTGCTGCATCACTGCTGCTGCTGCTGCTGCTGTCGCCGGCAGCGCCACCTGCTGCTGAAGCAACACCTTCCCCCCGAGCTGCTGCCTGGGGCCCCACTGCTGCTGACCAGAGGTCCCCTCCCCCTCGGCGAAACGCTTCATGAAGCTGCTGCATGCGGTGCTGCAGAGGAACCCACAGAGCAGGACGCTGCAGCAGCTGCAGCAGCTGCTGCAGCTCCGCGCATGCATACGCTTCGCCTCCTACTGCTGCTCCCGTTGGCAGCCCCACAAGTCTCGGGTTACACAACGCCCCTAAAGTTAAGCCAGGAGACGCATGCAGCTGAGGGGGGGTCCCCCGGCAGGGGCCCCTGCTGCTGCATGCAGACCACGCGCCGCATTTAACTGCTCCTTCATGCGCAGGTGCAGCAGCTGCAGTAGCTGCAGCAGCACCTCCACTTCTGCTGCAGCAACGCGCTGTGCTGCAGCGATCTCCTGCAGCAAGTGGAGACACCTGGGGGCTGTTGAGGGCCTCCCTTAACTGCTTCTCTGTAGCATCAAGGAGACAGGCAAGCAGAGACCAGAAGCCACTGTAGTGATGGGAGGCGAGCCTAGCACATGCATCCTGAAGAGCAATGGAAGCAGCCTGCCGTTTCTGCTGCTGCTGCTGCTGCTGTTGCTGCTGCTGCTGCTGCTGCAGGCTAGAGGGTGTTGCAGGCACAGTCCTGCGACCTGCTGCCCTGCATGCGTCACCCCATGCGCTGCTGTCTGTGCTGCCAATTGCAACTTCAGCAGCCCCTACGAGGCGGAGGCGACAGGGGCCCCCGCTGAGGGCCTCAAGGGTTGGGGCCCCCCCCCAAAGCTGCTGCTGCTCCTGCCCAGCAGCAGCAGGAGCAGCAGCGGCAGCACCAGCAAGCAGCTCAGGGGGGCCCCTAGGGGCCTCCTCCAGCTGGAACTGACATCCTGGCAGCAGCTCGCGCTGTGCAGGATACCCGATTTGCTGTTCTGCTGCAGCACCATGGGGGGCCCCTGGGGGGCCCCCCAGGGCCCCCGGAGGCCCCTGGGGCCCCTTCTGCGTGTGCGCATTCTTTGTTTCATGCAGAAGCCTACTAACTATGATGCTGCCTGCTGTGGGGTTTTGTAAGACTTGTAGCAACGCCTGAACGAAGGGGGCTTCCTGCTGCCTTGGTTTGCTGCTGAGGGCGAGAAGCAACTGCTGCAGCGCGAGAGGATGGGCCTTGTCTAGCAGCACGCGTACGTTGGCAGCAGCAGCAGAAGTGAAGATAGCAGCACATGCTCTCTTAAGCATCCATGCAGCCCCTTGCGAGTCGAAGAGAGCAGCAGCTAGCTGCAGCGCAGGGCCTCCCTTTTGCTGCTGCATGCATGCGCTGCAGCAGCAAATGCCAGAAGCAGGAGGAGACACACCAAAATAAAACAACCAACAATTCATAAAACGGCGAGAGAGACGCCCCAGCAGCGGGAGGCCCCCTACTCCCTGAGAGGCCGGGTGCTGGGGGCTCAGCAGCAGGCGCAGCAAACACAAAACGCTGTACATACACTCCGCTCGCAGCAGCCATCTTTGCTGCTCTGCAACACATCGCTTTCTCTCTACCAACCAACGCTCCCTAGACACCCCAACGCCACCCGCCCTGCTGAGACAACACACACCACCACTGCTGCTGCTGCTGCTGCTGCTGCAGTCCCCAGAAGACGGTGAAGAAGAGATAGAACGTCGGACCGGCGCAACAACTGCGTTCGGCTGCTGCTGCTGCTGCTGCTGCTGTTGCTGCCAGAGTCGTTGCTGGTGCTCTAAGACCTGGAGAGCAGCCTCAACAGCAGCCAAGTCCCCTGAAGCTACTACCTTGTGGGGCCCCGAGAGCGGCCCGCAAAGGGCTGCGAGGGCCCCCATCTTTTGTTTGTTTGCATTGGAGCTGCTGCTGCTGCTGCTGCTGCTGCTGCGCTGCAGTAGACCCTCTGCTTCCCCTCTCAAACACAGCCGATGAACCGCCTCGCACGTCAGCTGCAGCAGCTGCTCCAGCGAGAACTTGCTTCCGCTGCCTCTGCTGCTGCTGCTGCTAGCAGCAGCAGCAAGGCGGGCTTTGGGGGCATTTGACAGAACAGCTCTCTCCCTAAGTTCATGAATAAAAGAAGGAGAGAAGGCAGGAGAAGAAGGAGACAACAGCAGCGCGCCGCCTTTAAGGTGAGCCTGCAGCAGCAGCTGCTTCGGTCGCAGCTGCAGCGCAGGGGGCCCCACAGCAAGACCGGGGAGAGGGAGACAGCAAAGCCTCTTGCCGTTGATAAACAGAACCAACACTTCTTGCGGCTGCTGCATCCTCTCTAGCAGCTGGTCTTTTGCTGCTGCTGCTGCTGCTGCACCTGCTGCACCTGCTGCTGCTGCTGCTGCTGCTGTTGCTGCTGCCTCCCCCAAACCTGCTGCCTGCGAAACTCCCCTGTCAATCAGCAGCTCCAGCGTGAGGCTGCGCTCTCCGTGCAATTCAAAGACACCAACCATTGCTTTTGCTGCTGTCTTCTCTCCTTCATCTCCTTCAGGGGCCCCCCAGGGTCTTTGGGGGGCCCCTGCGGGCCCCCGCACCCACACGGCTAACGCAGTAGAAGAGACTTCAATGTACAATACTAGAGCATCTGCATCCTCACCAATGCTGCTGCTGCTGCTGCTGTTGCTGCTGCCAGGCGCCTCAAAGCTGCTGCTGCTGCTGCTCCTGCTGCTGCTGCAGGCGCTTTCTCTACGAAGGCGAATGAGGCGTTCATTTCCATACAAGAACTCCAGCAGCACGCATGCACCGCTCTCAATGTTGTCTGGGGCCCCTTCTGTCTCTTCAGCTGCTGCTGCACTATCTCCAGGGCCGCTAATATTTGCTGCTTCTGGCAGCAGCAGCAGCAGCTGCGAGATGGAGGCCCCTGTTCCTCCTAACCCATTCGAAAGAACCCGGAGGGGGCCCCCCTGAGACCCCAGGGGGCCCCCCCCTCCCCGCACAATATATTGCTTTTTAGGAGAGTCTAAACAACCACCGAAATAACATCGTCGCTGCAGAGACAGCAACTCCAAAGCATCCAGAGAGGGAAACTCATACTGAGGTTCCCAGCTGCTGCTGCTGCTGCTGCTGCTGCTGCTGTGGCTTTGTGCATTGGTAGAGGAGAATGTAGCAGCAGGGGGGCAGGGAGGAGACAGTTTGCTGCATTGCAGGTTATCAGCTGTCTGCTGCAGCAGCAGAATAAACTCCAAGAGACAGCAGAGACTACTGCCGTGCAGCGCATGCAGGAGGAGACAGTCAAGGGCGAGGCCTACAGCCTCCCATGCCTGTTGTGTGTCTCCTCTCAGCAGCATTTGCTGCTGCAGGCTCTCTTGGGGGTTCTGCTGCATACTCCACGTGTCTCCATCTACCTGTCTCTGCATGCGATCCCTTCGTATCTGCTGCTGCGCCTGCTGCAGCAGCAGCCGCAGCAGCGACCCCCTTTCCTTGTGAGGTGCGGTACCCCTAGAGCTGCTGCTTGAAAAGCAGAGCTCTTCATTGTCGCCTCCGGCTGCTGCTGCTGCTGCTGCAGCTGTTGGTGTCTGCGAGGGTCCTCCAAAGGCTGGGGGCAGCACTGAGAGCAGGCGCGCCCTAGCTGCATGCAGCAGCTGCAGCAGCAGCTGCGGCTTCACCTCCCCTTGCTGCAGCAGCAGCCACGCCCACAGCGAGGCCTTGGCTTCTCCGTGCTGCAGCAGCCCCACACTGTCTAGCAGCAGTTCTCCTGTGTGCTGCTGCTGCAGCAGGTCTCCTTCCTCTCCTACCTCTTCTACCTGTTGCTGCTGTCTCTGCTCCCCCAACAGAGCGCTCAGGCCTCCGTAGGGGGCCCCCAAGGTTTCTGCTGCTTGCATGCATGAGTCAGCAGCAGCTGCAGCAGCAGCTGCGTCTGCTGCTGCTGTTCTGCTGCGCTGCTCTCCAGCAACCCCACCCTTATAACACCCAAACGATGCTGCTGCTGAGACAAGAGACTGTAGACGAGCACGCAGAGACTGCAGAGCACGTGGTAGTTCACAACCCCCAGGGACAGCAGCAGCAGCAGCAGCACCCCCTGCAGACAGCGCCAAGCAGTCCTCTAACACTGGACCTGCTGCTGCTGCTGCTGCTGCTGCTGCTGCTGCTGCTGCTGCTGAAGGGGCAGCACCACCTCCGCCCGACCCCTCACCAGGGGGCTCGCCCACGCTGCTATGCTCAGCAGCAGCGGCATCAGCAGCAGCACTTATTAACAAAGGCTGAGGAGACAGCCACTCAAGGGAAAGAGCTATTGGGTCCTCTACAGCTTCTTGTGATGTACCTGCAGCAGTACTATCTGCTGCTGCTGCTGAAGCCGCTGCTGGAGCTGCTGCTGCTGCTGCTGGAGGCGCCGCTGCTGCAACGGGAGTTGCTGCTGCTGGAGTTGCTGCTGCTGGAGCTGTTACTGCCGGTGCTGTAACTACTGGCGCTGCTGCTGCTGCCGCCGCTGCTGCTGCTGGGGTTGCTGGATCTGCTGCGGCAGCTGCAGCAGCAGCAGCAGCGGCAGCTGCGGCAGCTGCTGCTGCTGCAGCTGCGGCAGCTGCAGTCGGGGACGCTTGCTGCGAGTTGATGCCCCCTCTTGCGGGGGCCTCTGCAGCTGCTGCTGCCGTTGCTGCTGCTGCTGTTGCTGCTGCCTGGTGCTGGGGGCCCCTAGCGCGCTGCCAGAGGCTGCGCAGCTGCTGCTGTCTCCCCCCAAACAGCCGCAGCAATCTCTGCAGCTCGACGGAGTCTCCAAGTTGAAGTGTGCCCTGTGTACCTTCACGTGTGTCGTGCTGCTGCTGTTCCTGCTGCAGCACCAGCTGCTGCTGCTGCTGCTGCATGGATGAAGCAGCAGCGCTGCTGTCTGCCCAATTCTCTGCAGCTGGATTGAAGGAGAAGTTCAGCCAGAGGCCCTCAACAGGGGGGCCCCCCAAGTCCCCGTCAACGCCTTCTAGCAGCCGGGGGGGCCTTCGCAGGGGCCCTCCGGCCTGCTGCTGCTGCCTCCGTCGCTGCTGCTGCTGCTGCTGCAGTTGCTGCTGCTGCCCTGAAGCAGCACCGCGGAAAGCCAGGCGCTCCAAGGTTCGCAGCGGGCAGGAGGGGCTGCTGCTTAGAGAGGCAGCAGCAACACTGCATACTAGGAGACGAGACAAACAGAAGCACAAGTGTGTCTCTTCTAGCAGCAATACCCCCCCTAAACCCAATGTGGAGGAGACAGCGGAGCTGCTGCAGGGGCATGTGCGCCCCTCACAAGCAGCGGTTGGAGCTGCTGCAGCAGAGCCCTCAACAGCTGCTGCAGCACCTGCAGCAGCTAGAGTAGCAGCAGCAGCAGCAGCACCACCGCGGCCTGACAGTTGCTGCTGCAGCAGCAAAGAAGAAGAAAGACTGTATGGAGCAGCATATAAAGAAGGAGACCCTGCTGTGTCTTGCTGGGGCCCTTCCTGCTCCTCTCCTCCAGCAGCAGCATGTGCTGGGGGCCTCCCTCTGACCCGTCGGGTGTCTGTACACTGAATGCTGCTAAGCCTCCTGCGATGGGATCGCAGCAGCCTTGCTGCTCCCTCCAGCAGCACTGCTTCTGCTTCGCTTGTTAGGGGCCCCAGGGCCCTCGTACGCGCTAGGAGGGTATAGCAGCTAAAGTGTTGCAGCAGCAAACCGTCTGAGTCTGAAGGCTGAGGAGGGAGAGATACAAGGGGAAGCAACGCACAAACAGAAGATGATGCAGCAGATAAAGACAACGGATAGCTTGTGAGGGGCCCCCCTGCCCCCCCTGGGGGCCCCCAAGCTGCATCTCCTAGCTCAGCAGGTCGAGGGCTGTCAGATGCTGCTGAGAAGGGGGCTTCGCTCTTCATTTTCATAGACGGAAGTCGTTCAAGAAGCACCAAGACGGACCTTCTGCTGCTGCTGCTGCTGCTGCTTTTGTTGCTGCTGTTGCTGCTGCTGCTGCTGCCGGAGGAGGGCAAGAGCAGCGGCGCTCAGAAGAGAAGGCAGCAAGACGACAGGGAGCAGCAGCGCAGCTGCAGCTGCCATCCCTGGAGCCCAAGCCAGCCCCACCCTGCAGCAGCTGCAGCAGAACTTGCAGCAGCAGCTGCAGCAGAAGTTGCAGCAGCAGCTGCAGCAGCAGCTGCAGCAGCAAGGCGGAAGGCAGCCGCCGGCAGCTCTATATGTGAGGTATGAAGGCCCTGAGGAGTTTCTCTTTATGCCTTTAAAGACAAATCTAAAGGCCCACTAAAAAGCCAATAAGTATGCGGATTAGAAGAAGGGGAATTTCTAAAGAAAACCAAGAAATATGCGGAGAATGAAGAAGGAGCCCCGTGGGGAGAGACGAGAGCGGGTGCGGCCCCTTGCTTCTGGCTGCTGCAGAGGTGAGGTAAAAACTCAAAGAAGAAGAAGAAGGGTAAAAAGAAGAAGAAGTTTAAATATAAAGAGAAGTTGCAGCAGCAATAAATAAAAGACAGACACAGGTTTCCTTACAAGAGCCGCTGAGACCGCTGGACAGGGGTACATATACGAAGAAGAGGAAGAGGCTGCAGTTTTCCTGTCTGTGTTCAGGTGTCTTCACAGATGTTTTATTTAAGCATTTCTACCTTTAATCCCTCGGAAACATTTATATTTTGAGAAGAAAAACAAGTAGAGAGCTAGAGAGAAGCTGCAGCGGGCTCGTAAGCAGAGAGCTGTACAGAAGAAGAAGGCCGGAGCTACCCACAGCTACGTGAGAAGCCCTTACTTTCCTCTTTTATCAATTGAAGGAATTCAATCAAAAAAACAAAACGAAAGCTCAAAAACAATATTTATTTAGACTTTTTCATACCTTTATGAAAGTTTCCGCCGACTGGACCAGAGCGACCGGTGGTGTAGAGTAGAACTCTGAGGTGTATGCGCAGCTATGCATACACTCCGTAGATCTTTTAATCTTTTATACCTAATTTTACATCAATTACCCAATTTCTTGAACACTTTTATACTCTTTGAACGCCACTAAACCTCTTCTTCTTTCCAGCTCCTTTGTATGCCCGTGTGTGGGGCTGCGGCCTACGCAGTGTAGAGGCGGCTTAGCTGTCACTCTTACTTCCTCTTATTTTTCTCTTAGCTTCTTTTACTCTTTATTATTTCTCTTCTTCTACTTTCAATACATGCGCACATCTTCTCCCTCTCTTGCTCTCTAACCTCGTCTTCCTCTACTCCTCGCTCAATCGGCTCTTACGTAAAACCTCTAGTAGAACGAAGCAGTAAGTTTAAGTACTCTGAATACAAAGGGGTTATTCTGCTTCCTCTTATTGCATGCAAGCCTAATGAGAGGTGTATGAAGTGTCTAGACAGCCTGCTGGGGCTGTCTCTCTACTTTCTTTTTATTCCTCGTGCCGACGAAGAGCGCAGCCTCGCTCAACTATATAATTATCCTCAACGGAAGCCTTAAGGCATTTAATAACCTGCGTACTTCTCCTCTCTACACAGAACAAACAAATCTTTAAAAGAATTCAATAGCGACGGAACTGCTGCCCTTAAGTCGAGCCACCCTAAGGCATGCGTGCATAAAAGGGTTACGAGCTGCAATGAGCAGCAGCTAGCTGCAGTTAGCTAGCTGCATCTAGCTAGCAACAGCTAGCTGCAGCGAACAGCAGATAGCTGCTGCTAACCACAGTATGCGAGAGAGACATTCACGTACGAGGCCTCAGGGGGCTAAAGAAGAAGAATCTCTTTAAGCTCTCCTCTCAGCTACTCTTGAAAAGGCTTTATAATAATAATTTTTATTTCTTATTTCTATACCTCTCTCTAAAGAAGGACTTACTCCGCCTTGTCAATGCTTAGCGAGTCAGAGACACCGCCGCAATACACAATAATATATATATAAAATATATAATATTAAATAAAATAATATTATCTAATATTAAATATTGTATTATTATATTATATAATATAATAATATAATATATATCAATATATATTCTTATTGTAGTAGAATAGATATCTACACCCCTTCCTTCACCCGATG